TGATCGAACTTCCTACATCTAAAAATCCTGTGCAATATGAGTACTTAGCAAGATTAAAACAAAACTTTGAAAATACTTATCAAGGTTTTGTTTATGTAACTTACTTGACATGGTCACCAGCAGAAAAGGCTCTATATAATGTTTTGGTGGCTACTTAATTCTTTGCTCCGACCAAATGAAAATTTATTTATTCCAACTGTTGTATATTATATAATTAGCAATGGATACTTTTTCAACAGCCTCGCTAGCTCAATCGGTAGAGCGTGTGACTCTTAATCACAAGGCTGCGGGTTCGAGCCCCGCGTGGGGCTAGCTTTTTATCTAGCAATCAGCAAAAATGCTGAAATTCTCATTCAATGCTATTCACACGTTGCAATTGCATCTCAAAAATTTTTTACAATACGATATCGGCAAATTTCAATACATTTTTCGTACAATAAATATGAAGCGAGTAGTTGTGGAAAGCTGCAACAGAATAAACTATAATTAATACTGCAACTCGACATCATCACCCCCAGCAACAGTATCCAGATCTTCATACGTATTACTGCTTCCACCAGCTCTAGGATCGACCTTGGCGCCTGGTGGGGGAGGAATGCGTCTAGGGTTAACACTAGCAGGATTCGCACTAGCGCTTGGCGCCTCTCTGTAAGAAGGTGGGAGGGTATGTTGAGGAACATTTCTCGCCCATGACGGTATACCAACGCTTTTGAACCTCTTCACACCACCTTCGTCGTTATACTCATGTGGTCGCTTGTGTTTGAATACGGCATGACCCATTCCACGCTCATAATCCCTGTCATAATCATATCGCTCGTTGTTGTAGCGATCGTACGCACCCGGTTCGTAATACTCCCTCCTGTTAGCTTTCTCTCGCTCTGTGCGCTCTCGCTCTTTCTCTGCTTCGCGCTGCCTGGCAATGGCAGCTCCAGGAAAACGTCTATTCACACAAGCAGGTAGATCAGCTAGTGGATTTACGCGATTTGGATCGCGTATGTAATTGTTGAATGCTACTATATCATCTAGTTTATCTACGTCAATCATTTCGCTGTGTTTGTTGAGTATGTGTTTCTCTATAAATTCAGTAGCTCTAAATAACTTGGTGCATTCTAGACACCTAAACTTATTTTCATCCTCTTTCTTTATCAACTTCGACACTACAGCCGTTACTTGCTCATCATAGTCAAAACCACCACATGCCAAGTAATCGAAATTTGGCTCTATCAAGGACGATATCTTCTCGTCTAGGTGTCTCATCCAATTATCAGACTTATGAGAATCGTAGGCGTCTTCGTGGTTGTCCGGTGGGTTTGCAGTGTTACGGTAATAAATGCACGACTTCCTTACTAGCTCTTCCTTGAAATCATGGATAGAAGCAGAGTAATAGCAAGTGTTGAAAGCGTTGCGCAGGTATAGTATGTACAAGTCGAGCTCTTTCTTGAGTCTAGTGGTGTGATCGGAGATGTTGAGCTTTGTGATAGCGTTGGAGATATGCTGGGATATGTTGATAGAAAGATCATTGTTTGATATTGTATTGTAAGTGGATTCGAGGTGTGTACATAGTTTCTTAATGTTACCAAGATCCTGTCTCAATCTGTCTGGAGTGTTGCTGATTGGAGGTGCGACCTTTGCTTTAGTTGTGATTGGAGTGTCACATTTGTTAATATAAAGAGTGAAAGTGTCAATTTTAGGATGACTGAGTTGGTTTTTCAGGTAATAGTCCAAATCAATACCCTGTTTATAACTAACCCAGCCTGTCCTATGATATCTTTTTACGGCTTGTGGATCAGATAGAGCCAGATAATCAAATCCATCGAGCTGAGAAAAGTAAGATTCCAACTTAGATCGACCAATAGCAGGAGGGATGCTCTTTATGAATAACTGAGGGTGATTAGGAGGTTGGATAGTATAAGGTGTCGTCTGAGTTGATTCGTTCGAGTCTTTTGGAGGTTTATCGAATGAGACACTGTCAAAAGCACCCGAATTGAGATCCTCGATGAAATCTCTGGGTTTAGAATTCCAACCGCGTAACTTTAAATGATTACGATGATCTTCCTTTGAAGGGTAGTACTTCTCTACAAACCAAGGCTGATGCTTCTGTTGTAAGAAAAGCGTGTAGCACTGTCTAGAATGAAATAATTTTCTATATTCAAGGTATTTATTGTATAGCTCGTCCTTGTCCTCGTTTGGATTGAATTTTCCAGATAATTTCAACCAAAAGATGAAATCTTTAAAACCAATTAAATATTCCAAGTCATTCGGGTTTACTGGTATTGATTGACTGCTATTCGACGTATTTGGATTCGTTGGATGGCTCATCAGTTGCTTGGTGGTTGAGAACAGGGTTTATTCACCCAATTGATCGATTAAAAATTACAAATTTCATGGAATTACAGCTTCTTTTGTCGTTGGATCTATTTCTGGTACAATTGACGACTACATCCGTGTGAGCTGTATAAAGCCATAACACCACACCAACCTTTCGTATCTGCTCTTTATCTTCCTCCTTTTCTTTCTCATCTTTACTTGACCTATCAGACTTCTTATCCCTCCGCTGCTTTTCCCCTTCCTCTTTCTTCTTTCCGAGCCTATCAATTAGCCTCATTGGTGGAGTTGTTGGTTGAAGTTAGAGAGGCTCATCAGTGAGGCTTTCTCCAGTTGACTCGATTCAAATTATGTTTTCCATATTAGCTACTGGCTGGTGCGTCTTCAATCTCAGTGGCTAGCCTTGAGCTGTTTCATGCAATTTATATCTTGAACCCTGAAGACGAACAAGTAACACAAATAAAATTGGTTGTGTCCCTTTTATAAGCCCACACTTTATCGGAAAATTTTGACTTTGAAGTGTCATTTGGTGTTGAGAATTTTCAAGGCACAATGTAGAATAGAAACATTGTCAATTATACCATGTTTTCGCCTATAAACCCAATATATATTTAAATACGCATTATCTACAAGAATCACTTATATAATCTAGTCAAATGTCATTTTCTTTCCTTGTGGCTGGGCAATAGCACCTGATCTGTTGGCATTGAATCCACCTCTGCCACCACCTCTTGGTGCACCACCTCTGCCACCTCTTCCACCTCTACCGCCGCCTCTTGGACCACCGCCTCTAGGTGGACCTGCACTTCTGTCCTTTGGTGTGCTGAAATCTAATCTCAAAACCCTTCCATCCAACTCACTTCCCGCTGCACCATCGATTGCTGCCTTGGCAGTGTCAACATCAGCGAAACTGACATAACCGAAACCTTTTGGTGCTCCAGTTTCCCTATCAGTTGGTACACGTACGCTCTCAATCGCTCCAAACTCCCCAAAGAATTCCCAAACGCTGTCCTCATTCGTGTTGAATGATAAGTTTCCAACGAACAAAGTGTTGGATGGATCACTACGTTGATCTCCGAATGACTTAGCCCTCTTTTCTGGATTTGGTGCGCGTGGAACGCTCAAATCTACTCTAATTGGTCTACCATCAATTTCTTTACCAGCAAATTGTTCCATAGCTTTGAGTGCAATGTCATGTGACTCAAATTCGACATAACCAAACCCTCTAGAGCGACCATTTTGTCTGTCTAATTGAACGCGCGCGCTCTTTACTGTACCCAATTGCTCAAACTCGCTCTTCAACCACTCATCATCAATGTTCCAAGACAATTGACCGACAAAGATTTGTGGAGTGTTGTCTACGGTGATGGTCTCTGGGACTTCCATGTCTTCCGCCTTACGCTTCTTTGAAGGTGCCTCGGTTGCTTCAGGTGCAGGTGCAGGTTCAGCCTTCTCTTCCTCATCCGAAGAGGAGTCTGAAGAAGAGCTACTGTCATCCTTCTTAGCTGGGGCAGGCTTCTCAGTAACCTTGGCATCTTTGTCATCGTCAGAAGAATCACTGTCGCTAGAATCGCTAGAGTCGTCCTTAGCAGCCTTCTTTGGAGGAGCCTTAGCATCAGCCATCTTCTCGTCCTCGTCTGAGCTGTCTGAAGACTCTGAGCTAGATGAATCGTCCTTTTTAGATGGTTCAGCAGGTGCAGATTTTTGAGCAGGTTCGTCGTCGGATGAGGAAGAGTCAGAAGAGTCACTGCTTTCGTCTTTCTTAGCTGGTGCTGGTGCAGGCTTCTTAGCCTCTTTCTTAGAATCCTTCTTAGAGTCATTTTTTACTGGCTTCTCGTCTTCAGAATCACTGCTATCATCGCTATCATCGCTAGAGGATGACTTCTTAGCGGCTTTTGAGGATTTCTTAGGAGGAGAGGCCTTCTTAGACTTCTTCTTATCATCCTGAGTGGTAAAAGTAAGATAAAGGAAGAAGTGTAAAATTTGTAACACACATCGCTATCGCTTGAATCTGAAGAGGAAGAAGAATCAGAAGAGGAAACAGGCTTTGGAGGAGGAGTAGGTTCCTTCTTTGAGGCAGATTTGGACTTATTCACGTGTTAATAGGGATAGTGAGCAAATTTAACAAACTAACTTTCTTCTCTTTCTTTTCCTTCTTTGGTGGTGCAGTGGATGTTTGCTGGTGTTTGTTAGCTTGTATCAGGCATAAACACATTTACCCACTTTAACCTCTTTTTTGCCCATTTCTATTTCGATGTTGCGAGTACGCTTGAGAAGAGAGATAGCGTGATAATCTTCTCAGATCTCAACGTCCACATTGAAATTTTTAAATTAAAATGGTAATTTGGCTGTTTTTATTAGAGATCTGTTTCCTCACGCCTGTCTACAGGGTGTTCCCGCACTCTTCCGTTGGTTATCTAAAGTGGGTTATCTCCGTCGATACACTGAGCCATGCTGACGAATTTATCCCCAGAAATATCCAAGAATCGTTTATAAAGTTGAAGAGCAGCATCCAAAGCCAATCGAATCTTCCCGCGATGAGAATGGCAACGTCACAGAGTATACTCCAGTTGACATTACACAACCAAATCCCAATAATCAGGAATTTGACTGTCTTTACTTGGATATGAACGGTATCGTACATCCATGCTCACATCCTGAAAACAAGCCTGCTCCTGAAACTGAGGAGGAAATGATGCGCGAAGTTTTCATTTATACCGAAAGAGTCGTTAATATGATTCGTCCGCGTAAATTACTCATGATGGCTATCGATGGTGTTGCTCCTAGAGCCAAGATGAATCAACAGCGTGGTCGTCGCTTTAGATCCGCCCAGGAAGCCAAAGAGAAGGAGGATTCTCGTCAGCAGCATTACAGAGAAATGGAAGGTCAGTCGGTTTGTCTTTGACTTTCTATATCCGCCTTTAACTCCCTCCCCAGCTCAAGGTCACACTTACACTGACGAACAAAAGGATAAGCGTGCATGGGACAGTAACGCCATTACTCCTGGCACCCCCTTCATGGACCTCCTCGCTCAAGCTTTAAGGTACTGGGTCGCTCGTAAAATGAATCAAGACGATGGCTGGAAAAACCTTCAAGTTATAATCTCAGATGCTAGCGTTCCCGGTGAAGGTGAACACAAGATTATGGATTTCATTCGTCGTCAGCGTTCACAGCCGTCTCACAACCCAAACACGGAGCATGTCATATACGGTCTCGACGCTGATCTAATCATGCTTGCTCTTGCTACCCACGAGCCAAATTTCAGAGTTTTACGTGAGGACGTCTTCGCTCAGTCTGATAAACAGCGCAAACAGAATAAAGGTGGTAGAGGTCCACCGCAACAACCCAATTCTGATCAGCCAGCCGAACCAAACCCTTTCATTTTCTTAGACGTCACTACTCTCAGAGAATACCTCTACTTTGAACTTAAACTGCCTAATATGCCATTTGGGTATGATTTAGAACGCGCCATTGATGACTGGGTGTTTATGATATTCTTTGTCGGTAACGATTTTCTTCCCCATCTACCTTCGTTAGAGATTAGGGAGGGAGCTATTGATACTTTACTCGCTATTTGGAAACGTTGCTTGCCATTGATGGGAGGCTACCTCACCAAGCATGGTGATGTCAACCTCAAGCGCGCGCAAATGATCATGGATGGGCTGTCCAGCAGTGAGGATGAGATATTCAGACGTAGGAAGGAAACCGAAGACCGCCAGGATAGGAATGCCAAGAGGAGGAAGATGGAGCAACAGAAGAGAGATGTTGAACTGAGCAACAGAGGCTCTCAAAGCACGCGCGCACCGCTCCCAAGCGACAGAAACATGGACGCTTCTACGGACAGCTCGTCCATTGGAGGCGTCGAATACAAAAGCGTCGACATTAAATCAAACAACGACCTAATTGCGAATAGACACAAAATGCGCATGGCAAACATGAATGCGGCTGACATGTTGAAAGCTCAGATGAGTGGTGGGTTTGAGATGAAGAGTGATGGACAGGTGAAACAAGAGAACCAGAGGCTCAATGAGACAGAAGAGGACAATAAACGCAAACATCCTGAAGAAGACGTACCAGAAGACGAGCAGATTCCAGGTGTGAAAGTAACGAAAGCCGAACCAGAAGACGAAGAGCAGGGTGAAGAGAGCAGCACACAGCCATCCAAGCCGAAAGTCAACCCCGATGGCACCGTCGACCAGGAGGATACAGTTAAGTTGTGGGAGCCAGGCTATAGAGAGCGCTATTACCGACAAAAATTCAATATTGATTTATCGGATGTCGAACAGCGCAGGACGTGAGTCTGACATGAACACACCCAACTAGCCCAGCTAATTTACCGCAGTATCGTTCATAAGTATCTGGAGGGTCTTTGCTGGGTACTCAAGTACTACTACCAAGGCTGTCCATCATGGAAATGGTATTACCCGTACCACTACGCCCCGTTTGCAGCTGATTTTGAAAATATTGAATCACTGCCAATTAAATTTGAACTGGGTAAACCATTCCGCCCGTTTGAGCAGCTGATGGGAGTTTTCCCTGCAGCGTCCGGAGTGCATATACCGCGCCCATTCCGTGAATATATGACAAGTCATGACTCACCCATACTTGATTTCTATCCAGAAGATTTCAACATCGACATGAATGGAAAGAAGATGGTGTGGCAGGCTGTGCCATTGCTGCCGTTTATAGACGAGGAACGACTAACTTCTGCGCTCAAGACACGCTACGACGACTTGAGCGATGATGAGAAGAGGCGGAATGAGCGGGGATGTGAGACCCTGATGATTAGCGAAGAGCATCCGCTTTACGACCAAATATGCAAGCTTTATACGAAGCGAAAGGGCAATTCACGTATTGAGTTGGATCTAGCCAAGGCTGACAGTTTGGCTGGTTACGCTGAGGCAGATGCGGACGTTATACCTGGATCTACATTCTACTCGCCGCTGAGCACACTCGAGGACCAGCCGGATGTAGTTGATGACCGTTCTATTGCTGTTCGGTATGGCTTCCCGGAGCAGACACATCCACACAAGAGCACTATCCTCAAGTCATTCAAAGGTAAACCCAAACAACTTTCCAGCTACGACATCGAGAAGGCGAAGAACGGCGGCGACAACAACAACAATTACAGAGGTGGTGGACATAACCAGTTCAGAGGCAATAACTCGGCTGTGCCTTCTAGTAGGCCGCCACGCCCGCAGTTCGGGAGCGCTCGTCCACACAGACCGCCTCCAAGCTATATTCAAGGCAGACCGATGGGCGCGCGCCCTCCACCTGGCCAAGGAGTGTTTTCTCCATCATTGGCCAACGGCGCTAGGCCACGTCCTCCACCGCCGACGATGGGTATGGGTAGACCCCGTCCACCGCCACCTACTGGCGGATACAGGGGCAGCTATGGCGGCTACGCCGGCGCACAGAGACCTCCTCACGGTGGATACCGAGGATAATAAGACAGTAATTGTATATTAAACCTTTGTACAAATAAAGCAGAGTATATGATCAATTAGAGTGTTTCTCTTTCTTTTTCTTTTTTCCTACATGACTATCTTTGGTTCAGTGATAGATGCAGAAATGGATTTGTGGGGGAGGACAGAAGCGCCATTGATGTGAAGTTCATCTTTGACGACTACATCATCGCCGAGGACAGCGATATTTTCTATACGCACCCATCTACCAATAGTGCAATTCCAGCCGACGATAGTGGAGTGAATCCAGCTATGGTCTCTAATTCTGCTACCGTCCATAATGACACACCTTTGCAACCTTGCGCCCCTTCCCACCTTAACACCTGGTCCGATGACGACGTTAGGTCCAATAAGTGCACTACTATCTATTTCCGCCGACGGTGCAACAAGGACGTTCCCGCCATTAACCCAGCTATGTTGGGACGGCTGTGTGAGTTGGTTCGGCGAGTAATTGCTGAGGTGTGACAAATACAGACATGTCCCATGAATGTAATCTTTCGGTTGACCTACATCTGCCCAGAAAGACTGCAGATCGAAAGCGTGTAGCTCGCCATCACTTGCCATTGGCGGGAACACTTCCGTCTCGATTGACGTTGGTTGAAGATTTATACGCGATAGCATTTTTGGATCGAATATGTATATACCCGCATTGATCCGGTTTCCGACAAACGTCTTGGGCTTTTCGACAAAACGCTCTATCTGGGAGGAGCCGGTGTGCATAACGACGACACCGTAGTTGGAGGGCTCGTCGACCTTTGTGACCTGGTGTGGGCGTGTTAGATGCACCACTTTTCGATACTCGCTAATCATCCCCCCCTTACCATTATCGTCCCGGCACTGCTGTGCGAGTTGTGGAAATCTCGCAGCTGTTCAAAGGGATAGTTGCACGTAACGTCGCTGTTGAGAACAAAGAACGGGGAGTCGTCTTTTCCTAGTATATTCTCGGCTAATTTCAATGGACCTGCTGTGCCTAATGGCTCAGATTCAATGGAGAAATGAATCGTTATCTTATACCGCTCCTCGCACTCTTTCAACACCTTCTCCATTATCTCAGGACGGTAGTTTACCGCGAGAACTATGTCTGTCACGCCGGCCTGCACTAGCGCTTCTATCTGATGGACTATCATCGGTTTGTTGCAGAATGGTACGAGTGGCTTGGGCAACGTGAGCGTTAGTGGTCTCAGCCGCGTACCGAATCCTGAATGTGCGTTGCGTAAGCTTGACTATTTGCACTGTTTACGCTGTTGCTCTGCTATCACTAACCTCCGACTAAAATCAGCCTATGTACTTGTTAGTTTGTTCCCTTCTCTTGTACACCCTACTCACGCTTTCAGTCCCATGTTTTTTTCGTGTTGTGACGTGTTCTAATCAAAGAAGCCAGCGCGCGGTGTGCACAGGCGAGAGGTCAGATCAGGCACGCACATGAGCCATAAGCGGCAAAGCAGTCAAAGATTTAAGCAACAAAGCAAAGCAAAGCGTTAAAGTAATAATTTACATTTGATTGAACATTGTGCCAAAAATGAAAACATGGAAGTCGTAGACAGAAGGTTGAATAACACCCAACCTAATGCCTCACTTGCTTGCGATCTCTAAGCACATGGCCACGTGGTGAGCTGTCCTCCCCGTAATTCTCCTCACTGCCATCGTCAGGATGTTTCCTTTTCAACATTGGAGACAGATGCTGAAGCTGGAGCTGCGACATATCTGCACTGCAGCTGACGTCTGACTTTGGATTATAGCCATTGTTCCCACTGTACCCATTTCTATTACCAGATGCTGGAAGCGGAGAAGACGAGAACATGTTCTGATTTGAGTGATTCGACGACGGTATGCTGAATTTCGGTGGCGATGAGCTGTCATCGTCCTGGAAGAATCCATTTCTATATGGCGTCCTCGTTCCTGCTGTATTATTTGTATTACCGTTCCCGTTCTTCAACTCCGACTGCAAAGCTTCGATCTGTCCTTTAATTACTTCGTTTCTGTCTTCGTTGCTGTGGTCTTTGCTGGTAAAGTTAGGTACTGGGATTGGTGGTGGTGGTGGTGGTCTTGCCACCTTCACTTCATTTATCCATGGATGATTGAGCGCGTCCTTTAGTGACATTCGGGTCTCAGGATCGGCTATCAACAACTTGGAGATAAAGTCAATAGCACTGTCAGACATTCCTAACTGCTTTAGAACGTCGTAGTCTACCTGTCGTTTTTGTACTCTCTCATGCAATGGTTCATCTTCTTGCTCGTCAAATGGCGACGAATTCGTTAGCATGGCATAAATGATCACTCCAGTACTCCATGAATCGACCGCTTGATCATAACCCTCTGGTCTTTTCAAAACAACTTCAGGCGCCAGGTATGATGGTGTGCCGCACATTGTCTTGAGGTGTGTCTGGCTATCGACAGCTTTAGCCAAGCCAAAATCTGTAATCTTGATTTGTGGTAGTTCTACATCTTTCGTGCAAAGCAGAATGTTCTTAGGGATTTGCGTTAGTTTACTCCGCAATTCCAGATCAAGCTATACAACCCACTTCTGGTTTCAAATCACGATGGGTGATTCCCTTTTCGTGAGTATACGCCATAGCAGCACACATCTGTCTTGCGATATCCCTTGCTTCACGTTCAGCTGAGCGTGTGTGTTAGATTTACATATTGTGCTTTAGTGATACCCACATAAACCACCTCGATTGATGATGTAATCCAACAAATCCCCTCCTGCAGCGAATTCGATTACGAGATATATCACCTGATCGTCTTCAAATATATCACAGAATCTTGCAATGTTTTCCTTGAATTGAATTGTCAGAAAGGTGTTGAAAAGAGTATCATGTCAGAACACAATGACGCACATGGTCCAAGATCTTGATAATGCCAATTTCACGTTCAAACATTTTAAGGGTCTTCTGATTCATAGCAAACCTATGCTTGGCAATCTGCTTAACTGCCCGTGGAATGCCTGAACTCCGCTCGTAAGCCTTCTTAACACTAGCGAATGATCCTTTTCCAATTTGTGCACTTTGAGCTGGTCAACTTAGGATCCAAAGCTGATGAACAAACCCACCCTATTTCATACTTGGCAAATACACCGCCACCTGCATTTTCGTCTATACTCTGAGCCTTCTTAGGGCGAGGTCTGAAAATGTACCCTGATACGCGAGTCAGATGGGCCTGCGGAGGAACACTTGACTAACGATAGTCGTCTAATGTGCCTGGTGCATTTGAGAGTGGATTACCGAAGCTGACTTCATCACCAGGCATCAACCTTCTCTGTACGCCTTTACCGCAGCGGATTTGATTTATCTTTGGTGACTAGTTAGGATAAAAGCGTGATATTGGTATATACACACGTAAGTACCATTCGAACTACCATTGAATGCTTAGAATGTGCATCTGTCGCGTCAAACCGCACTCACCTCGTATCTTCAATAAATACGACGATTTCAGAGGCATTCTGATCGCCATCGTCTGCGTTATCGTAATCACCAGTCTGATAAACCTTGCAATGGTTGTTACCTGACGTGCTCAGTCAGATCTCTGCCATCACCACCACAAAGCCACCAAACTCAACTGATTTTCTTTCCATTTAAAATGATATCGTTCTCTTGGGGATGTCTGCCAAATCTATATGCAGGCTTTTCGTTCAAGAATGTGACGCTGTTGAGATCTCTTCTTCCAACCGGCATAAGCACTCCCCAGTAGCCAGGCTCGTCGGGATTAGGCATAGAAGCCGTGCGCTGCGTTTGAGTAAGCTGCTGCGTCGGTTGCGTGCCCTCAATTCCATCATCTTGATACATTGACATTCTGGCTGGTGATGATCGAGATTAACGCGTCGTGAATTCTAGATTGAGTTGAGTTTGATGAAATAAAGAAATATAAAATTAGTACAAGGGAATCAGCGTATTAGCCTACTTATTCTTCTTATCTGCTAATGAACTTGGTGGCATCTGTGCCAGTGTTGAGTTTGGCTGCTTGGGCGTTGGTGAAATTGCCAAAAGAGCCTTGATAGCGAATACTAGGATTGGGGTGAGTATACCGAAGCTAATAATGAGTGACGATATCAACGGCGTCGTCCAGTAATCAAATCCAACGCTGGGGGATGTGATTACAATGGCATGCTCATAGAATCGCCTCTGGATTGCTAATAAAGGTAACTTGTTTACTTATCAAGAGTTAGCTGGGTTATTTAAAGGGGCTTACACATACACAGATCATCCACATACTCTCTGCGCTTCGCTTGTGATAAGCCATTAAGTGAGCTGCGCTCTCCCTTGACCTTGATAACCGAGTTACTGACCCCGGTAAGCTTTTGAAATGCATTTATACGTCTCACTCACCGCGCCAGCCAATCGCCGTGCTTGTACTTGTGAAGTCTGGATTTGCAGGTTGATGAAATGAGCTGGGCAGCATCGCTAGGCTGGGTCAGAGCTTGAGGAGCGTTATGAGAGGACTCGTAGAATGTGAATTGGCTTGTAAAACTGTCTAAATCGTCCTCTTTAAGCTAGTCTTCCCGTTAGAGTGCGTAGACGCGGCAACAAGAACCCACCGTGGGCTGCTCAATAACGACAACAGCATCTAAATTACACAGATTGTCTTTCGATATTTGCTTCAAATCGTTGCTCGTTATCGCATTCCTCATTCCATCAATCTCAATTGATCTGGATTTTGTTGATAAGCTTTGTATACGCATGTAACAATAAACCTCACGGATCAGTTGAAGCTATAAAAAATGGTGATGTCGCTTGACAAGTACTGGCTATTATTCCAGCCGCTATGATTGACAGTATTAACATGATGATGGGGTGTAAGAAGCGAGGCATACATCATCAAGGACGTGCATTTGCGTACAATGACATTAACTCATTAATTGCTTCGTAGATCAAGGCATTAATGTACGCATATTTGCTACCAGATTGATCTCAGGAGAAGGTCATACCAAGTAGGAACTCTCGTTGTGTGCGACAAAAGCAGTATGAAAGACTTTGTAACAACAATCCTGTAATTTACAATTAAATTCGCATAATTTCATAGCTCATCTGGGCAGTCAAGAGCGAAAACATTGTTGATAGCAATGGCGTTGATAGCGAGAGTACCGTGAATATATTTGTGACATTTTAAAGCTAGATAATCCTCCACATGATACAAAGGCGGTTTTGTCACACTCTTGCAGACAAACCAAGTCAAAAAATACAAACAGAGGAATTACTGTAATGCTTGCCTTACAAAAGTAACTAGCCTGTCATCTCCTCAGATGACTGTCTACCTCTGCGTCACTACGATTACTCAATGGAAACTTGCCCAAGGTACTCAGCCGGAGTTGGAAATGGACGAGCTACTGAATACATTTTAAGGCTCATAAGCAGATCCATCAGCCATTCGTCACATCATGTGCTGCGCCACTCGCGTCTTTAAGATCGTCACCGCGGATGACTTCACCCATTGAAATAGATGATGTTACTCAAAGGCTTCTAGCGCTTCCTGGGAAATGAAAAGACCATAAAAGATCTCAGGGGAATCAATGCTTCCTCTTTAAACCTTCAAATTCCTTTCATCCCCTTCAAATCCGCAGAAAGATACGAGGTTCTGACATCTGGCGGGGCTGACGGGCGTGAGCGACGTGAAAATGCAGCCAAAGACAATCAAGGCTGTTCGAAATCGTTGCCAACCTATGAAAATGAATAGATTACATTCTAGGCAACGCGTTGCCCCACATTTTCACAAATGTACGAAAACGGTACTCGACCGACACGGCCGATAGAGCTCTGAGGATGCCAGAGGGCTTTATTATTAGCTGTAAAAATGAGGATAAATTTTAAAATATTTTACATTTCATGTGGATACCAAATGAGCTAATACGCTGGGTTACTCCAAATAAGCTGGACGTGATTTCTACCTTGAACAACTACATCCATCTTCAAATAAATGTTTAGAAGAGCGTCATCAAGACTCTTATCCAGGAATGGCCTCGTTGGCTCAACCGCAGCGCTCGGATTGACCAGCTACGCCTATTTGAACTCGAACAAGGAATCCATCAGCATGGATGACTCAATTGATCGTCGCCCATCTGCTCTCTGGACTCCACCTTCCCGTGAGCACATGCTCACCAAATTAGGCGCGTTCGATTCAAAGGACAAGGAAGAAATCTGGGATCTTCTCATCGTCGGTGGTGGTGCCACTGGTGCTGGTGTTGCAGTTGACGCTGCTACAAGAGGCTACAAGACTGCGCTCGTAGAGCGTGACGACTTCTCTTCTGGTACCTCTTCAAAATCAACTAAGCTCGTCCACGGCGGTGTGAGATACCTCCAAAAAGCTATCCTTGAACTTGATTATGAGGTGAGTTTGATAGTCTTTTCAGCTTGGCATTTCTAACATCAGCTCCACAGCAATGGAAGCTCGTCCGTGAAGCCCTCCACGAACGTAAGACGTTCTTGGATATCGCTCCTTACCTCTCACAACCACTCCCAATTATGCTACCTGTTTACACCTGGTGGCAACTCCCTTACTTCTTCGTCGGTTGTAAGGTGTACGATTTCCTCGCAGGATCACAAAACATGGAATCCTCATACGCTATGTTCAAGAGCAAGACAGTTGAATCCTTCCCAATGCTCAAGTCTGACGGTCTCGTTGGTTCCGTTGTATACTACGACGGTCAACACAATGACGCCCGTATGAACATGGCCTTGATTATGACCGCCGTCCACCACGGTGCTACAGTCGCCAACCACACCGAAGTTGTCCGTCTTGAAAAGAATTCAAGCGGCAAGATTGAGGGTGCTAGACTGAGGGACAACATCACCAAGCACGAATGGGATGTAAAGTCAAAGGGTATCATCAACGCTACCGGGCCATTCTCAGACGGTATTCGTAAATTCGATGAACCTCAAGTCCAAGAAATTGTTGCTCCATCATCCGGTGTTCACATTACACTCCCATCATACTACTGCTCACCAGAGCTTGGTTTGATCGATCCAAACACCTCCGACGGCCGTGTCATTTTCTTCTTGCCATGGTTAGGTAACGTCATTGCTGGTACTACCGACTCTCCATCCAAGGTTGAGCGCAACCCAGCTCCAAAGGAGGAAGAAATCCAATGGATCATCGATGAGGTCCGTAGATATCTCTCACCAGACCTCAAGGTCCGTCGTGGTGACGTTCTCTCAGCATGGTCAGGTCTCAGACCACTCGTTCGCGACCCAGCAGCTAAGAACACACAATCTCTTGTCAGAAACCACATGATCAACATTTCAAAGGGTGGTCTTTTGACCATTGCTGGTGGTAAGTGGACTACCTACCGTTCCATGGCCGAAGAAACAGTCGACGCTGCTATCAAGGAGTTCGATCTCGAGCCAAGAAAGTGTCAAACCACCAAGGTTAAGCTTGTAGGATCACACGGCTGGACTCCTATGATGTTTATCAAGCTTATCCAACAATTCGGTTTGGAGACTGACGTAGCTAAGCATTTGGCTGCCACCTACGGTTCTTTAGCATGGAACGTTGCCGCCATGACTGAAGCAACTGGATTAAGATGGCCAATCCACGGTACAAGACTCGCAACCACATACCCATTCCTTGAATCTGAAGTTAGATACGCTTGCCGTGCAGAATACGCACAAACCTCAACCGACGTTATCGCACGTAGAACTAGACTTTCATTCCTCAACGCCCAAGCCTCCCTCGAGGCTCTTCCAAGAGTTGTCGACATTATGGCTGAAGAACTTGGATGGGATTTGAGCCGTAAGCAGCAAGAATTCGATCAAGGTAAAGACTACCTGATGACAATGGGTCTTCCACCAACCAAGCAAAACCTCTCATTGGGCGATGTCAGAAGCGGTAAGGTTGTCGACAATGACTCAGCAGAGATTGAAGACGCTGTGTTTGCTAGAGCTCAATTCTCACCAACTGAATTGGAATCCCTCAAGGAGAAATTCGCTGCATTGGATCTCGATCACGATGGATCTATCTCTAATGAAGATCTTGGCAAGTCACTCAACAACCTCGGTTACAAGAATGTCTCAGAAGATGCCGTCGCATCTATCCTTCAAGAAGTTCAACACAAGGATGGTGTCACATTGGATTCATTCTTGGACATTGCATCCGGATTAAAGGAAGTTGAGTTGTCTACTGCTTTCACCAGCGTTCTGAGCCAAGTTCCAAGCTCGTTACAAGAACACGTCGGTCAAACCTACGGTGGTCCAAAGGGTGGTAGCAACGTTGGTATTGGCGCAGCTGCAGATGCAAGCTCTGGCTCTGAGAAGTCTGGCGGTGGTGTCTAATCGATGGAATCCACATGTATAGTTACAAAAACTGAACAATTATCTAATTTAGAACCTCGACTGATACAAATTGTTTTTTTCTTAATGCACATTTCCTTAAAAACTTGTTGGGTGTGGAGCGAAGCAAAATTTTAAGCGACTTAGTATGATTGCGAGGTAGAAACTTGCGGAAGAACATAAACTTTATCCGCAGCTACATGATAGTCTAGAATCTCACTCTCTCTACCTAATTTGGTAATACCAATTTTAGTGCGTGCCTCAAACAAGAGATCACACTTCTTAGAATGAAGAGTGAATTTAGTATGGGAATGTAGAGTATAAATATTGCACCCGCCGTCTCTCTCTTACCTTACAACTCAAAACTTATCTATACAATGATCGCTCAAACCATCTTTGCTACCGCTCTCGTCGCCTCTGTTTCAGCCGGCTGGGAATCCAAGAGCGAGACTGGCTCATGCAACACTGGAAAAATCTCCTGCTGTAAGAAAGAAATAGATAGCTTGACGCCATCTTACACTGTTAAGGCGACCTTAACAAGGAGGCTCAAACCAGCACTGGCAAGAACGACGCCCTCATCTCCACTGGCGACATTGCATCCCAAGTCGGTGTTCAATGTGATCAGGTCCCACTCTTGATCGGAGTTGCAATCGAGGGTTCGTAAAGGTTTTCTCACCTTCTCAAATCTAACACTCTACAGACGAGTGCAAGAACACCCCAGTCTGTTGCGAGGGTCTTGAAGAAGATGGTCTCGTTGGTTTGGGTATGTGTCTGTAATGTCTCAAACTTCGTACTGACCCTTTTACAGGCTGTAGCCCACTCCCAATCGTCTAGATTGATGACCTGTACTTATACATAATACGTAGTTTACCCTAAAATTTTCGACTGTTTTGTTGGATGTGAGTTATTTGGAAGAAGACTTGAATGAGCATAAGAATCTTTTTTTATAAGTTAAGGTGTTCTTTTTAATTGCAACTTTAGGTGTACTAGTTATGCAATAAATGGATTGAGACTGCGTTTGATCAAGGTCTATCGCAAATCATAAAGTGTACTACCGTTATTTTCAAAGAGTCTATACGACGATGCCAAGTTCTTGGCGATTGACTTCTGTCGAATGAAACCGATGCAAGCGTTGGAGTAAATTGAGCTCGTAAACAATTTCAAGTGATTAATATATCCATGAAAATAGTAGTTTGAGCCTAATTTACTCCAATTTGAACATATTCAACTCACTCTGCGCATTATGAGTCGATACGCCCGTCAGTCAGCGCAGTCACCATCGATTAGCCACAAAGTGACTCAATCGTCAACAAAGGCAGACCATCACGATCGAAGACTACGCAGGATCATATAAAAGCATGTCATTCCTTGGATTTGGCCCCTCCGTCGACGTTTCAATCGCCGTAAACGACGAACAAGATAAACGGACAGCAGAAGTAAAAGACCATAAAGACCGTAAATCCTACTGTCCGATTTATTACGACGGCGAGAATGTCACTGGTCAGGTGGGTGCACTGCCACTCCCACCCAACTGATACTGATTAGCTGGCAGGTCTCTGTGAGGGTTAAGGATGGCAAGAAGGTCACACATGATGGAATTAGAGTTGAGTTTATCGGCACTATAGAGCTTTTCCACGATAAAACAAATCATCACGATTTCCTCGCACTCTCCCAGGATTTGGCTGGTGCAGGTGACTTACGCTCTTCGCAAACATTCGACTTTAACTTTAAGAATGTGGAAAAAGCTTATGAGTCCTATCACGGAATTAACGTTAATCTCAAGTATCTCATCAGAGTCACTCTCTCGCGAAGGATGAATGATGCTGTCGGTGAGAAGGAACTCTACGTACACTCACACCGTATGCCACCTGAGATAAACGATGTTATCAAGATGGAAGTTGGTATCGAGGACTGCCTCCATATTGAGTTCGAGTACAGCAAATCCAAGTACCATCTCAAAGACGTCATCGTTGGAAAGATATTCTTCCTCCTCGTTAGAATTAAGATCAAGCACATGGAGCTCTCAATAATTAAGCGTGAGAGCACAGGGAGTGGTCACAACCAATACAACGAGTCAGACACTATCACCAAGTATGAGATCATGGATGGTGCACCCGTCAGAGGTTGGTAAAGCTATATATGTGAGACATTCTGACACACGTTTACAGGTGAAACTATACCAATACGGCTATTTCTCGGTGGATTTGAATTGACACCTACGTTCAGAGACGTCAATAAGAAATTTTCAGTAAGATACTACCTCAATCTAGTTCTCATAGACGAGGAGAATAGGAGGTACTTCAAACAACAAGAAATAACAATCTACAGAGACGAGGAGGTAGGTGAACTACTAGACACAAACAAAATTAACAATGAACAGCTCTCGTGAATCCCTGTAATTTGTACAAACAATGCATATACCCAATAAAGTTGCGTACATGACGTGTTATGAGGCGCCCTAGCAAATGTAACCAAAATAAACCTTCATAACCAAAAAAAGATAGTGAAAAGCGTCAGAATGATTTAGTAAGAGTGCTTTGCAAACCTTAGCGCTTCTACGCAGTTGAGTTCTCTGTTTGTTTCTCTTCAGCTATCGCACTAAAGCGCTTCATACGGAATAAGCGCCAACCATCAACGTCAATCAAGGCCTGCATACAGCCCCATTCTATAATCTTACGCTCTAGCCATTGGAAGTTGACTGGTTTCGTCAGAAAATCGTTACAACCAGCTTCCAAAGCCGCAACTCTGTCTGATGTAGCAGAAGAAGCTGTCAGTGCGACTATAATGACAGGTGATCTGAACTTGAAATTGGTGTGTATCGAATTTGCGATTGAGGGTGTGTATGTATCTTTTTTCAGACCATCATCAGTATTATTACGTGTTGTTTGCACCTCCGATGATAATTCTGACGGTGGTGTAGATGGAAAAACACCAACATTTCTGTCTTTCTCAAACGCTCTTATCTGCCTCGCTGCTTCAACACCACTCAATATAGGCAATGCTAGATCCATCTGTGGATTTTGTCAGACCGTGTGTTGAGTTAACCAGCACACTCACCAAAAACAAATGGAAATTGCCCGTCTGCCATTTTTCAACTGCCTCTTGACCATTTAGAGCGATATCATACTTGACATTACGTCTTGTCATGAATTTCTTAAGAATGGTCTGGTTGATCGGATTATCTGGATTTCAAATTAATGAGTGAGTTGTTGCCACGTCCAAAGTCTCACCCACCTTCGACTATGAGCACATTGATTGGTGGTTTAACGCTACTACCGCTCATCCATCCATTTCCTTGTGGGTTGACAGGCGCATGAGACGCTCTACTATCGTTGAACTTATTCTGCACATCTCGTCTCGCAGCTTGTGCAGCATCTTTGATAGACTTAAGCACAGATTTGGACCTTTGCCTCGTGTTCAGCGTTGGTCTCTCACCCGCCGCTCTCGAAACTGGAGGTGTATGATTGAACGGATTGTCCTGCTCATCTGTCGGTTCCGGCGAGTCTGATTTGGGTATATCCAACCCACTCAATCCAATGGTAGACGTGCTGCCAATAGAGCCTAATGAGTGACCCTTTTCCTTAATAGTGCTTGTGGTGGTAGACGTTGAATTTGCGCTAGCGGAGGTAGTCACTGAATTTGCGCTTGTCGTATGAGATGATCTATCAGTGTGTGAGCTACCTCCAAAGCTGCCGCTGCCGCTGCCTTCTTTGTTCTCAGGCTTGGATGCCGACGCCAAAATTTGTCCACTCCCGTTGGCTGGGTCTGATGATGGTATATCGTTTGACTCGTCGAGGGTGAATTTCGGCAGGGATGTGATTGTAGGCGCAGCATCTGCAAAGATGTTCGGAGGCGGATCTGAGCGCGAGTGATTGAGTGGGACTGGTCGTCCGTTCGCTTCACAGACCTGTTCCAAGACCGTGGTAGAAGCTCTACTCTCAAGGTTAGGCTTTGATCCTTCATTCCCGTCATCTTCAACCGCACCGCCCGATTTAGCCCTTTCAATCATCTCCCGAATCCCGATATTTGGCTTGTACAGCGCAGATTTGCGCATGCTGCTGTGGCGAGTGAGAGGTGCGTTCGAGTGTGAAGATCTCCGACTGCGTCTGCTTCGCACTGATAGAGGTCCTGACTGCATATTTCTACTACCTTTCGACTCATTTGTCTCGTCGTTTTCATTCATGTCCGACTCCTCTCCTGGCGACCGCGTGGGGTCGAAGAATACCCCAGCTGCTCTTCCATCGTGCGACTGGACAATCATACCCTTGTTTCCTTCGCCGAGTTCTGCTGCCTTATTTGAGAAGTAATTGATTGCCGATGTGTCAATAGGCGAAGTCGCATTCTGACTACCGCGGGAATGAGTGCTGAGATTCGAAAATCGCGAGTCAGTGGTCAACTGTTTGTGGAGTGGTGGTGGCGATAGATAATTATTTTGCTCCAATGGAGTCTTCTCAAATTCATCAGTAAGGCCGTGTGATGACCTTGAGAAACTGTAAGACGAATATCTGGAAGACCTTGATCCAGATGTATTTGAGTAAATGCTAGGCGACATAGGCGTTGTAGCCAGGGGCCTGAAATGTGGGTCGACAACTGGTTTGTGGATTGCTGTATGCAAAGCTGTCAATATCCTCCTAGGTCCAGCTGGTTTAGGCAAAACCTGAATGTTTGGTAGATCAAATTCAATGGGATCTCCACCAGACAAATCAATAGACGCCTTAGCCGAAAGAATAGCATCTATCACTACCTTGTAGTTCTCAAGACTTGTGAAATAAATAAAGTAAGGCCCGCTGTTATCGTGTGAATGATGTGAGTGAAGAGAATGATGATCTTGATTCTGTGGAGTTGATTGACTTGTATTGGTATTAGTGCGCTGTGAACGTAAGGTCGGCCTCGGAGTGGGGTTGTTGGATGATCTCGTGTGAGATGCCATTGATTTATGATATCTCCTAATAACCTTTAGCCGCTCTTGTCTAAGTTTCTTCTTAAATAGCGTGGTTTCGTCATCGATAATGACAAACCGAGGTCTGTTTGAATCTTTACTTGCACGATCAAACCCAGTACCACTAGCGCTACTACTTGCAACACTACCAACTGCACTCTCAAACGACGAGCTATTCTTTGATGCTTCCCGTGATGAATCCTCAACCAAGCTTGCACGCGCTCCCGGAATAGCCATTGGAGATGCCTTGGACAATGCACTTTGTGGAGAGAGATCTTCGTGGTACTCATTACTTGATATATTGTGTACCTCGGTTGTCATTCCCCACGAAGAAAGGTATCCTGAGACGTGCTTTGCAAAAACACTTTCTGAATGGCAATATAATTCTGCATCGTAATTTTGTAGAGTGCGACTAGCACAATGCTCGAGTTCCCTGAGCGTTGGTTCGCGTGCAAGCGGGAAATTCTGTCCGAAAGGCTGTCGGCTAGCTTCATTTTCAGCATTCTCGTGGTGATTTTCAGGTAATTGGTCACCTTTAAATAGAGTTAGCACAAAATTGTAGCTCCTCCGATGAGGCTCATTTGAAGCGTTAGCATACACTGGCCGTGAGCAAAGATCGGCGACGAGTTCGCTCAGTATGTGACTGGTGACGAGGTTTGCAAGGAAAGGTGAAGGAACGCTGTTGTGTTTTGTGTTGGACACTGCGGGACTAGGATTATGGTGGTGAATTTCGAACGTGCAATTGAGGCGTGTAATCTTATTTTCGTTGGGTTCGTTGGGATCAGTAGGTTCATCTTCTAAAAGATCTGGTGTGAGGAAGAGACAAATCTCCAATGAAGATCCTGGCAGGGCTGTATATAGTATCTTTCTAATTATCTAGATATTGTGTGAGTGCTGAGGAAGAAAGAATAGAAAAACCCACATGTAACAAACCGAAAGCCAGAGAGCCCTCATTGATGGCGGAGGAACTACCTTTAACAGAAATGTGCTGCAAGTTTGCACCAGAATGAGCAATTATGATGTTGATGGAGCGTTCAGCAGCCAAACCAGCTATACTGTCGGCGACACCTTGCAACATTTCGCCAATGTCCCACGATAAGTTGAAAACTGGAGCGCCAATACGCTTGGACTGCTGAGGGGAAGCCAGAAAGACAGACAAGTAGTTCAAAGCCTTTGAGACAGTCAAGAAGGAAGAAATGGATGGCGTGGGGAATGTCAAGCCACAAGCAGCGTACTGTTCTTTAGCGTGGTCGAGTAAATGAGGCGGCGAGAGCTGAATGATAGTCTGAATCGGCAGCTGGACGAGATCTGCCAGCTCCTGAGAAGATTGCTTTTGGAGTGACGAAGGGTGCAGATCGGAAGCGTCATCAGAAGTGTGGGTGAAATTCGAGATATTTGGATTTTGGAGATGGCCAAGTCTTGAAGAAATCGGCGCTGAGAAAGTTCTTTGGATGGATTCCTCGAGATTCATCCTTCTTAGATGGTTTTGGAGTAGGTAGGCTTCTGGCGGGATTCCCTCGCCGTAAGAGATAGACCGATCGTGCATGTGAGGGTTGAGCAGATTCAGATCAGCATTCTTGTCTACAGTCTCCTCTGGATCTGAGTACATGTCCTCGTTAAGATCGAATGACTTTGGGATGAGATCTCCGTCTGCTCGTGCGAGATTTCCGACGCCGTTGAAATCCTTGCCGTTAGATCCACCGGTCGAGCTTACTGTCGAAACTGGGGAGCCGCTGCGTGCGCTGCGAGGACTCATATACTTTCGGCGTAATGGGTGTCTTGAGAGTAGGAGAGTGAGAGGAGATAAGAATATTTGAATCGTTGTGATGCGCAGAGTGGATATTGTGTGTGCTGTGCTGCATGAGGTATGTCCTGCTGATTTACTGTGGCTGTTCTCCAGGTGTGGATGAGATCCGTAGTCTGGGCGAAATCCGGGGAGATGAAGCGGGTGTGCATATAAAAGAATACGGGGAGTACAGACATGACAATCATCTCTTGAAAAGAGCTGTTGGTGTCCTCGGCGTTGTAAAATGGCTTATGTGCACAGACAGCGTGGCTATTGTACAAATAGTGCGGTGTATGGGGAATTCTCAGCTTCCACTGATCAAAACAAGACTGCTATTGAAAATTAAAATGTATCTTACTTTTGCCCTTCTTCTAGCTTTCTTTCGTACGATCATCACCACCACGCAAACAAAATGATTCCAACAGTAGCACGCGCCTTCACAAACTCCGCAAGATCGAACAGACACGTCGCAGTACTCGGGTGAGCGTGCGTCACTGCTAAGGAAACCATCTCACCCAAGCAACAGCGCAAACGGCGGTATCGGACAGCCATTATCACTCCTCTGCAAGCTTAACAACAGCGTCACCAAGTTGAGCCTTCTTGACTTGAAGGGAGCTCCAGGTGTGGCTGCTGACTTGTCACACATCCCAACCACCGCCCAAGTCAAAGGATTCAACCCAGAAAACATCGGCGATTGCCTTAAGGGCGCTGAAGTCGTCATCATCCCAGCTGGTGTCCCAAGAAAGCCAGGCATGACCAGAGACGATCTCTTCAACACTAACGCATCTATCGTTAGAGACTTGGTTAAGTCTGTCGCAGAACACGCACCAAAGGCTTCAATCCAGGTAGTTTCAAACCCTGTCAACTCAACCGTCCCAATCGCCGCTGAAGTTTTGAAGAAGGCTGGCGTTTTCGACGCTAACAAGCTTTTCGGTGTTACCACGCTCGACGTCACCCGTGCATCGACCTTCATTGCTGAGTCATCTGGCAAGCCTTCTGAAGGTCCAAGCTACAATGTGCCTGTCTACGGTGGTCACTCAGGCAAGACCATCCTTCCACTCATCTCACAAGCTACTCCAAACACTCAACTCCAGAAGGAAGCACACGAAGCCCTCGTCAACAGAATCCAATTCGGTGGTGACGAAGTTGTCAAGGCAAAGGATGGTGCTGGTTCAGCTACCCTCTCAATGGCCTTCGCTGCAGCCAAGTTCGCTGATGAGTTCATCCAAGGCTTAAACGGCAAGGCTATCACTGTTCCTTCATTCGTCAACCTCAACCACGTCCAAGGCGGTAAGGAAGTGCAAAAGGAACTCGGCAAGGACCTCGAATACTTTTCAGTTCCAGTCACTCTCGGTCCAAACGGTGTCGAAAAGGTTTCCTCTATCGGCCAAATTTCTGACTACGAGAAGCAGCTCTTCTCTGAGGCTCTCGATGAGCTTGCAAAGAACATTGAGAAGGGTGTCAGCTTTGCCAACTCCAACTAATTGTATTTGAAAATGAATAGATAGATTGCGATTAGCTGGTGTAATGAAATGACTTAAAGAGTCGATGGAAGTGCGATAATAAAGATAAAAGAAAGACAAACGTGGTGTATACCAAAATTCCCGTACCATTGCCACCCCCGCAATTCCAGCATCACATGCTGGTTCCTGCGTTCCTGCGTAAAGCCCATTGTCTCAAGATAAAAGTCCAACAAAGAGCGTGAGAGGGGAAGGGTTGTGAGAGACGTAAGGACTCAGGAGTGTTTTGAGCCACCACTCAAACACAAAACACAAAAATGAACGTCGATGGTCTGCCCCCACATACCCGTACGCGGATTCAGAGCTGGTATGCGAAGCACAAAACGCAAAAGGCGCATAAAGCAAACAATACACACATAAGGGGGTCTATGAGAGAGAAGACGTGCATGACGCTAACGCTTCTCGCGCCCGCCGTAATTGGCACGCTATTCGTCATAATTACCATAGCAGCATCACGCGCGAGCATTGATGATATAACGGGGAGCGCTACTAGCGCAGTAGATGCCACCTGTCAGAATGTCCAGAATAGGGTAGAGGATGCTGTCAATATGCCGCTCACGGCGCAACGGAAACTCGGTCAGCAAGTGCAAGATACCACGACTAGCGCTATTAGTGGACTAGAGAGGGTATTGTTGTTACTGTGGGTATAAAGTTGTTCCCTGGACTTTGCAATCCCTTTAATACCCTCCCCACGCAGACTAAAAGCTATACCCATCGTCGTCATGTTCTTCATTGACTTCTACCGATCCCTCCTACTCTGCTTCCTGCAACTGGTCGTGCAGACGGCACTGGCGGCCGTGACGGAGCTGGTAAGGTTGGCTACGAGCGCGATTGAGGATGTGGCTCATAGTATCGGCGATCTGGTATCAAGTGCTTTCGACAGCGCCAACAACGCTATTGATACGATCAATGATCTTATCTCGTGGTCCGGGGAATCCGTTGGCCACATAGAGGCGCCTTCCCTCGATGCGCTCAACAATTTCGAGATGCCGGCGAGTGTGCAGGACACACTCAATGAAGTGCGTTGGTCGTGTTAAATTTGCCACTTGCTCACGACTTTCACAGGCCAACGAGAATCTACCAGATTTGCAAGATCTTCGCGATTATCTGGAAGGAGTGTGAGTGGCCATTTTGACTTCAGCCTTGTGTCTCACATCTCACATTTCGCAGCATCTTGACACCATTCCAAAAGCTGTCTGATGAAGTATCTGACAAGATCGCCAGCTACAAGAATACGGCGAGTGCTACCAACGCCGCAGCGACAAAGCAAGATGCGCACAGGTTTACGTTCTGCTCCGACATGGATCTATCGCTGATTTCAGACCTCGGCCATGCGATCAAGAAGATGGGGCTGTGGTTGATAGTAGCTCTCACTCTGTTTACCTTCGTGTACTGTATCGTCCTGGCTTATGTCGAGCGCAGGCGCTACCGCCGCAGAAAAGAAATTATCGAAGAGTATGATTACGGCAGCGACCCAAAGCGACTAGCGGAGCTCATCAGCAGCCACTCCAACCCGTATGTCTACAAGTGGACGAGGCGGATGCCAGCATTGCGTCGCGATGGCATACGGTGGGTTTATAGCCTGGTGTTTTGAACTCGTTAACGTACCTCATGATTCAGATGGACTGCGCTGGTCGTGTCACATCCTTACCCCATAACACTTTTGTCGATTGGCGCAATGGGGGCGTTATCCACAGGCGTACAATACGCTGTGGTGGATCGTATCCAGGATAGCTTCGTCAGTCGAGCGAGATCGGCTTACGATGCCGCCGAGTCGAAACTCAACCAGTCGCTCACCACTGCTACATATACGGGCCTGTGTGAGTGCTGAGTAAGGGCATTACATAAATTGTCTAACAAGTCCATCCCAGCCAACACCACAAACGATGCTATTGGGAATATAGAGAATGCGATCAACGACGATATAATTGGATGGCTGGACGATGGTATAGTGCCTATCAACAACACCCTCACATCATTCGAAGAAGGGCTGAACAGCGCTATCGAGACTGCGTTCAACGGTACCTTCCTCGAAGATCCTATCTCCAATTACGTTCAGTGCATCGTCGGATCGAAACTGGATACACTTGAGAGCGGATTAACCTGGATTCACAACAATGCAAATGTGAATATGTTGAGAGTGCCCGATGACCTGTTCGATGTGTCTACAACAATCGCAAACGCTATGAACCCGCTGCGCAACACAATCGTTGGTAATCGCAGTACTGGGGAGGAAGGCGAGTAGGAGATTGGATTGGATTTATATTAGCGTCTAACACCCACACAGGCATAGTGCAAAAAGTAGCTAGATCCTACAAACGTCAATTGAAAGCATCTCTCATAATCTTTGCGGTACTATTAGGCTTGTATGTCTTAGTTATAGTTGTCGCAGCAGCAGCGGCAACTGTCTTGGCAATCAAGCGTCGTCACGAAATTGATCCGGATGACGAATCGCAGTACGTCATGCTGCGTGAGGTGGAGGTTGATAGTACAGAGGCGGGTGCAGGTGGAGACGGTAGCGGTGGAGAGAAGAATACAGCACTGTCAACGACTGCTGACACAGTGAATCTGCCAACGGCTGAGCGCACAACAATTATCATACCTTCTCCAGCGTATTCCAATCATGCATTTTGATGTATTTTGATATTTGATATTTGTCACTTGCTTTACTTCCTGAGTATATCCTCCACCGCCTTAACTTTCGCCGCATTTGCACCGTCTCCCGAAGCCTTATCGATCCTGGTGCTTATACGGATATCCGAGCAGATCCTATGAACACCTAGATCATGTAGTGCTTGGTGGCAAGATTTGACGGCCGATGTGACAGCATCCCACTCGCCCTCAAGCTCTGTACCGTGGCCGTTGAGTTTGTGCGTCAGACGGGTTTCGGCGAGAATGCGTTGGACAACAGCAAGCTCGTCAGCGACGGAGGAATTGTCAGGATTGAGAGAGAACGAGCCAAATGGAATAAGGCAGAAGTCGGCGCAGCAGTACATGATGGTTATTTATAGTCTAGTGCTGGGAAGTGTAGACTGCAACAAAAACATAAAGCTCAAATAGGCTCAATTAAGCTTAAATAAGCTCAAATGCACTATCATATTTCTTCAAACGCTCTCACACGTGCTCAGACACCCAGCCGATTCCAGCGGAGTCATTTCAGTAAGACCCTCATTTAAGAATGCGTTCCTGGGAACGATAATTGCTCGTTTAAAGGAGAAGGCTCGTGCAATGTAGATATTGAAGAAGTGGGGAGTCTTCCCTGAGCCTGTGTCTTCACTCTCCACCCACCGTCTCCCGCGACTTCTGCCAGAAACAACAGCGGTGGAGGCTACGTATTGCCAGGTGGAGACATGAATTGCAGAGTGAAACAGAGAATCTTCTTAGCAGATAACCACCACAGCAATCAATGAACTTTGGATACTACAACCCTGGATGGATCGTGTACCCTCAGCTGCTATTATCACCACCAAGCCATGCGACCCAGAACCTAATCCAGCCGGTGCAGCAGCAGCAGACACAGACACAGACGCAGACACACCACCACCAGAATCACCACCCAGACCAACTAAATCAACCTATCCGCAAACCGTATCACCCGCCGTCGTCTGCGAAATCCCATTACTGCATCTGGGTTGGCAACGTGCCACCGGACAGCAGCGTCGAGGAACTCTTCAGCTACTTCGCCCGCCAGTCTGCACATGCACCGCGACTGAGTCTCGGTGAATACGCTGCACTTCCACCCAACTGTGGTCTAGTCAGCATCCACCTGATCAGCAAGAGCAGATGCTGTTTCGCTAATTTCTCCACCCCCCACGCTCTTCATCTCGCAGTGCGCGATTTGAACGGGAGTAAGCTACGCCTAGGTGCTCCGAGACTGGTGGTTCGGGTGCGCGACACGCACGCAGAGCTGAGTAGCGGCGTTGGATTGCAGCGTGGACGCAAGTTGCACCGCAATTGGGTGAATTGGGCTAGTGATGGGAATTATGAGCAGGTGCAGAATAGTGAGACACAACAGCAGCAAGAAGATAACAATCAAGATAATGAACACCAAGGTGATAACAATCAGCCCAAATTATCACGCTCCAGCTCAGTCTCCTCTACATGCACCTCTTCCACAACCGACTCCTTCCTCAGCCACTATTTCCCCGTACGCTACTTTATCCTCAAGAGCCACCACTTCGACGAACTCCTCGAGAGCGTCAAGACGGGCGTGTGGTCGACGCAGCCGCACAACGAGCATGTCCTTGATAAGGCCTTTAGATCGTCACACACTGTCATTCTCATCTTCTCCATCAACAGATCCGGTGGCTGGTTTGGGCACGCCAAAATGTCGTCACAACTATCAAACTCCTCCTTTTCCCTCCAATGGAACACCGTTCAGTTCCTCCCCTTCTCACACACTCGACTGCGCAACCCTTTCAACAGTAATCGCGAAGTCAAAGTGAGTAGGGATGGCACTGAGATTGAGCCAGGCGTCGGCAGGCAGCTGGTTGAACTGTGGAACACTGCTCCTATCGAGCAAGCTTAATTCTTTTCTTCTTTCTGGGTTATGTTTTGGCAATGTAATAGAGAAAAAATACATGTTTACAACATAAGTAGTGTGGATTTTATACAGCGGATTGAATGGATTAGAAATGCTATCAAACGCAGCACTAACCGTTTCCTCCGCCCCTCATATCATGTTGGAACTTCTCGTTGATCGGAGACTGCAACCGCGACAGGTGTGCTCTATGTCTAGCCTGTAACTCCTCCACCGTCATGCTCCTGCTCCGGTTCCGGTTGTTGTAACCTCCATAATCGCTGCTGTCGAATTTAGACAAGCCGTTGAAAGGCGATGTGCGCGTGTGCGACATGTTTCCAAGAACGTTTTCATTCGGGTAGGCCTGACTAGCAGATGGAGAAGCCGACGGACGACGCGCTGCCATTGTCGGCGTCGCTCTGCCTATTTCGTAGCTGAACGGTATGCTATTTTTCCGCGATCCCGGTGCTGAATTTGGGTTTGAGTGTGAATGTGAGCGTGAATGAGACATTTCGGGCGTCTGCGAATGAGTCCAAGAGCGTGCTGGTGTCTGTAAATCATCGTCAAAGACTTGCTTTGGCGACACGTTCTCCCATTCCTCCGGTGAAAATGAGGCAACCGGACTGTAGCGATGGTTTTGGTTGTAGTTGTATCGATCTCCACCATTGAAATCTCGACTATGCTTCCTCTTCTCAACAGCTGCAGCCACCGCCGGACTCACTTCCACACCAACATCCTTCGCTTCTTGATTGATAGGCCTGCTGACACCCGCTGGTGGTGCAAATACCTGTCTCGAGCGCACGTACTGCTCCCATTCAGTCTGTTTGACAATTCCTTCATTTCTTTCATCGCGTTCGTCGTCTTCATCAGCAGGTGGTCGCTTCACAAACGACTGTGTGCTCTGACTCTTAGCTCTTTTGCTATTCCTCCGCATGGGCAACTCAGACAAAGATCTTTTCCCAGCATCTCCAGCGTCTCCAGCTCGGTCTCCCTCGCGCAGCTCGTCGATGCTTCTGCTGCGCAGCTGATCAATCGATCTGCGAATGTTGGCGATATCGCTCAGCAGTGCCTCCTTGTCTTTAAGATCCGCCTCCGTTTTATCCATCGACTGGAATGTCTTGAGTGCTGGTGCGGATGGTGCTCGAGGTCTCTTGGTGCTGTGATTGTTACTGTTGCTGATGTTGTTGCTCGGGCGAGGTGGGAGAACTGGCTCGGCTGCCGCCTTCGCCTCCGCCTTCACTTCAGCGGGATCGGGCTCCGGCAGACCGAGTTCTGTGCGCATCTCCGATCCGAATCCCACATCGAGTGACGGGAGCGGTCCGCTCTGTTCGAGGGGTGGAGGGAGGTCGGGTGGAGGTGTGCTTTTCTCCGTCTTGTCCTCTTCATCCCTGCCACCTTCGGTGGGTTTACCGGCGCTTTCTCCGAACGCCGACAGCGGGGGGAGAAGCGGCGGTGGAGATGTAGGAGCGGGTGGGACTGCAGGTGGGGGTGGAGAGAGACGCTCGTCATGCTCATGCTCCCGCTCCCGCTCCCGCTCCCCTCTCTCTCGCTCTCCGTTGGGCTGCGGACTGACACTGTTGCTACCCGCGTAGCTTCCTTTCTCCATACTGCTACTGTACCTGTAGCCGTTGGCACCTGGCGCGCCCTTCTCTTTCCAATCTTGATCGTTACTAGCGTTCAAGGTGAGGTTGACTGGTGTAGACGCCTTGTTGAAAACACCGCTGACAGCCTGCTTCGCTGCGGCAATAGCGCCCCTACGAGCCCCATCACCGCTCCCATTCTGACTCTCCCAGGCATCCAAAGCGTCTTCTCTCCTTCTGTTTCTCTTCATCTCGAGTGAGTCGACGTCTGCGTCGTGAGGATCGAGCCCCATCTCGCGCGCAGCCTCCTCATCGCGCCCCATCTTGGCCTTGCGGCCTGCGAGGATAGCGAGGCGGTACTGCAGAGCGAGTGTGAGGAGGGTAATGGCAGCAGCGACGGCGAGGAGAATGATTTCCGTCTGGGTTAGCGGGAAATTCTCTCCTTTCCTGCGTCATGGCGTCAGTCGTGGCGGCAGCCCCGCTCCACTTGCACACTCACTTTATTGGCGGATAGAGCGTGTTGTACCCCAGGTTGTACACGTAGAACTCCTTCAGTCCGCTCTTCACGAAGCAGTCGATACCCAGTATAAATGCCGACGAGCCGATCAACGAGGTGGAGAAGCGGAGCAAGTGCTTCATGATGCGCGGATGGAACGACGCAACTACGGCGACCTGTAGCGATTGATAGTGAGAAATGTTCGCGTGGGCAACTAACCAAACTCACAGTCCCTAACCCGATGTAGAAGATCCATTTGCCCGCCATTGAGTGTATGGTGCCACCGTCACGCATGCATTGTATCCACCACGCTAACGCTATACCGCCGAAACCACAGACAGCATACGCGACATATCGCTGGAACCACCAGCTGGCAACGGCGGTTATGATACCCAGTATGGCACACCCTACCAGTATCTCCCCCTCCAACGCCTCAGTTGCCCTTTCGGGATTGTTCGAATGCAGTTTGGGCATTACCACGGTCGATAGGAGGATGCACATGAGGGCGATCATCGAGCCGTACGAGACAGGGATACAGACACCTGTCCAGCGTGAGGTGCTGCCTAGAACAGCCAGGGGAATGGCAGAGATAATTAGTATCGCGCCGAGGACGCCGAATGCGGGTGTAATCTTGATCGTCAGCGGCATTTCAGGCAGCTCTTCGGGGCTTTCGTCAGGGTTTTCGTCTATGTTTTTGTCTGGTTGGGGAAGTGGGACATAGGTTTGAGTGGGTATAGATGAGGATGCGCTGGTGACTGCTATCGATGTGGCAGTTGCAGTGTATGTCGTTGATGGTTTATCGATGAGAGTGGTGCTGCTGAGAGTGTCGGTGCTGCTACCACTATCAATATCACTGCTGCTTTCTCCACCGCTGTCTCCGCCCCCTTCATTCCCCTCTCCATCGCCTTGCTGAGCGTACGCACACGCTAGGAGAGAAATCAAAACAAGTGAAAAGCGCATCGAAAATAGACAAAAACGCCGAATAAGAGACAAAGTTCAGCGAGTTAATCAAGGAAGCATTGAATATTGAATATTTAGTGTGATTTAGCGTGAGGGATTTGAGGAATGTACTAAGCAAATGAATGTGACTAATTGGATACGCAGCAAACTGTCTAATTGAGTCGAGCATACAATTGAATTGCATCGCTAAATCTCGAGTAATCAATGCAGAAGTGCGAAATTTCAACCATGACGGCGTCGTCCTTCTCTAGAATGTCTTGGTCGAGTAGAGTAGCGAGAAACATGCACAGCTAGCAAGGCCATCAGCATTAAAGACAAGGCAAGGCACAAGAAACCACACTCACATATTTCACACCACTCTCTCTCAATTCCTCAGCCGTGTTAATCCATTCTATGCAGTTAGATATGAACATCCCGAGTACTGTCTTGGTCATGAGCTCACGACCTCTTTTACATAGATTGGCTACAACGTGCAACACAGACTTGTGCGGAGGGAGTGTCGCTAGTTGGTGGAGATGTACTGGTGATTGAGACAAGACGGGGAAAAGCACTACATCTGCAATTTGTGGATTAAAGTTTATCAGTCCAGGTATATGATGAGACGGGATATCTTTGATATTGATAGTGTCTGCGTTGTTTTTGAGAAGCTGCGTGTTGTCAGTGCGAATAACCAATTAAGACCAATGACACACTCTCTGCTCGGACATATTGAGAGTATTTGTTGAAGCCTTGTATAGCAAATATGCAGTCTGCTCACTTTGGACTTTGTTAACAGTCTAGTGATACTCTGAGGCTATGCGGGTACTCACTCTGCCCAGCCAGATGTTCCAGATGTCTTTTGCTTAAGCTGCGCGTACTGCTCCATTGTCTGCTTATCTGACTTGTTGAACTCACTCCTAACTTGCTCAAGCGACATATTGCTAAAATGGCCGAAAGCGCTGGGATGCGTAGTGACGGATATGATGAACCACACCAGCAATACATCACCATCACCACCTGAGCTTATTTCCTTCTCGAGTACTTGCTGTATCGGGGCGTTGAATGGGTTTATCGTTATGTGATGTGGCACGTATAGTCCCACAAGGCAGTACACGCTCAATATCCTCTCATCGCTGCTACTGCTGTTCTGTAACGCTGGCAACAAATAATGCAGAGCGTGGCTGAAATAGTGCTCGTCGCCCGTCTTAATCAATTCCAAGTGTTCGCTGAGCTGCATCTGCCTCTATCTTTTATCTTATCTCCGCGTGACCTCCTCGACGTTGTCAGATAACACACAAATAGGTAATTCACAGCTATATACATAGAATTACAAATTACAAACTAAATTAAATATCCCTAAACATATATTACACTGCTCATTACTCCACCTCGTATTGAGAGGTAGATTGGTTCAGTTGCCCACGTACTCGTAAGCACCGGCGGCAGCAGCAGCAGCCGCAGTGTTCTGATACTGCTGCAAAGGGTTTGGCATAACTTCTGTTGGGGCGATATTGTTGAAGTCGAGGTATGAGCTGTCGTAGAACGCTGTGCGTGGAGTGTACTCGTCCTGTGGTGCATGTGGTGCATGTGCAGCTTGCGGTGCTCTGTTAAAGTGTGCAAGATTCTGTGGCTGTTGATGTCCACCTGCAACGCTGTCGAGATTTGGTACTGCAGGCACTGGTGCAATAGGTGCTCTCATCGTTGCTTTCGTCGCTTCTGCTAATGATGTCTCACTGAAATCTGTCGTTCTTTGACGTTTGAGTGAGTGTCCTTCAGTTTCTGCACGCGATGGTCTACCTCTCTTGCTTGTCCTATCTTGAACTGGAGCGTATCCGTCCTCGTCGATTTCATACTGATTTGAAAGGCACTTCTGCACAATCAACTGTCCCTCATCTGTCTTCACTACGGGCGACAATTTGGCTGTGGTGAACGTGTACACCAATCCAGACTCACTAACAACCAGCAAAAGCACTTGGGTACCCGTCAATGTCGCCAGTTCGTACGCTTTCTTCATAATACCATTCTTTCTCTTTGAAAACGTTATGTGACGGCGTGACTTGTCTTTGATGTATTCAATGTTAATCTTGCGTCTACCTGACTTTGTCTTTTTGCCATCCTCAGGCTCATCGTCGTCGCCCTCCTCTTCAAAGTTACCAACTTGTGTCTCAAATTTCAGCTCGTTTAATGGAGTGGTGTGGTTAAGGTCATTGACTGTACCCCTAATGCTATTCGCGTAACTGTCCAAATTATTTTGCGTGTCGTGCGTTTCGTAGTTAGCTGATCCATCGTCCTCATACGCAGAAGCACTGTCGTTGCTGTTGGCTGGAGATGACTTTGCTACTGGCATTGTGTAGTGCAATTAACTAAAGAAGGAAGGAGACTGCCGAAATCTTTGAATTAGCGTTTGAATTTGCATTTGGTATTTTTAAATTTCCAGCCTAAAGCAGCATACCGAATATGGAAATGCAAATGGATTGCACGTGCCAAATGGGGCAACTAAAAGGTGACAGAGAGTATGCATCTTTATTCATATTTAAGATTTGACATATAACATTTGATAAGTGTGCGACAAATGATGATGAATATCTCGTGCATCTTATATCTGACAGCGCGACGAATTTTACATGATATATATATTATGTTCTTATCTGAATTTCATATAACCTCGATCTCATTCGCCTCCACATACCCAGTTACCACAATAGATGCTGCGCGTGGGGCCTTCTCTTCAGTGACCAAGTGGGGTCTTCTTTCCTGTGACCAGATGTGTATGACGAGAAATCAAATCATTCACCTGAGTTCTAGAAATTACTAAGCGCACAGCACACGATGACATCACTGCAGATCTCCGTGATCTTGGTACAAACTTGAGGGATTCGGGTGAAAGCGATGTTTAAAAAATTATAGCCAAATTTTAAAAGTAACGGATGCTATCGCAGCTGCCTAGGGATCCATAGATCTTTTTACAGGGACTTTTAACCAGTGTGGAAAATGACGTCAGCCATTGGTGTGTCATCGAAATTTACCGAAAAAAGGATTATAAGATGAAATAAATTATTTTATGAAATAAATGGGTATCTCTACACCCTAAAGCTTTTCCTGACTGCTTATTGACGGAATTTTTCAATTTAAAAATGGAAATGATTTGCATATGTCGATCCAGGTCCGTAGCTCTGGATTAAGAACTATCAAGACGATAAATGTCTAGTGAACAAGGAATATTCAAGTGCGGTACATGTGGTGGGTGAAATACGAGTTTATATTGAAATTTACTGACCAGATTCACAGGCCAAACATTTACAGTACGTTGTAAAGCACTATGACTAGGAAGGCAACCACTCACATTCCCCCTCCAGCGCAGACAACATGAAAGCAGACACCAAAGAATTCGTAAGTTTGCGCAGTTCTCATCCCACGTGCTTAATTAATATCGCTTCCCTCAGACACCGGCGAGAAGCCATACAAGTGCACACACTGCCCAGAGGCATTCTCTAGATCAGATCTTCTCAATAGACATATATCAAAGCAGCATCCTTCCGTACCCATTATCCCAAAGCGTTCTGCCAACTGTAGACCAGGTTCACGCAAGTCAATGGACAAGCACCCTGCATCGAAAGCGCAGAGAAACCGCGATAAGATTGTCGATAATAACATGGCAGCTCAACCAATGACAGCTGAGTCTAGCCACAATACATCCAACAACGATGAAATAAACAGCTTTATGCCAACGTTGGTGGAGACTAGCGCACCAGATGGAAATAGAAACACATCCACAGATAATAGCATGATGTTATTTAGATCACTCACTGATAATTGGTACAACACAACCAACGTTTCTCCTCAGTCGCCTATGTCAATTATGATGGCTTCGCAGAACCAAAACCAGAACCTGCAGAGCAACACAGATTTCAGCACGCAACATGAACAGCCATTCGACACTAGCAGCTTCAACTACAACGACGTGATGTCTACATTTCTCAACTCACCCTCTATCAACATTGAACCAAACTTCAACACTAACACCTTACGAGTATCCACACCAACGATGGCGATAGAGAGTCCATTTGAATTGTTTGAGCGACCAGACAGCAGCAATGTCAGTAAAGATTTCGTAGCGGCTCTTAAGAGAAGATCAAGTGAAAACATACAAGCCATGTCTTTGAAAATACCTCAAAGCGATACCTTTACGAGGCTGATAGGTGGCGGTAGCCTCGGTGTGAGCACGTTTAAGCTCAACACGAAGAATATGCACAAACAGAAAATGTCTAAGCTTTCACGCATCGATGATAAAGCTCGTTTTGGTAGTAGCAGTAGCAGCAGTAGTAGCAGCAGCAGGGATGTTGGCGGGGATGTCGATCCGTTTGTGAAGAGGGATAACGAAACGCCCACACCTGATTACACTTCCAGCACCACACTGTCGTCACCCTCCTCAGCCAGCCTCGTTACACCGGTCGATTACTCTAAAGGACAGGCACAGCAGGCACAGCAAGCGCTCAACTCAATACAGAATCTCAAAATAGTAGAAGAGAAGGAACGAAAGAGCAATGAAGATAATAATCTGTACAGCTCACTCTTCTCAGATGACTTGGATCCATTAGCAGCGTCGTCGTTTTTGGAAACGGCGGTGTGATTGCTATGCAATTGAAGAAACAAAATTTATTATATGTATTATTAGCAAATGAACACACGAACCTTGTAATTTTCTTATTATCATACTTGGGTTTTATGTATATCTTAGAATCTTAGGCATATTACGACAAGCTTGAGAAATTAAATCAGATTTAATTAAAAAGAGATTGTCTGAAACGACTTGACCCACTCCTCCTTGTCGAACTTCTCCAACCCCTCACTCACTCTGTTTCTTGTTCTTGTGAGTATTTTTGAATCCCTTGCCATTCTTGTCTGATACTTGTACATGTAGGTGTGAGTTTCTAATTGCGCCTCCGCTCAGTTTTTCAGCCGCGAGCATGTCTCTCTCGTTATTGAAATCCACATAACAAAGTCCGCGCTGGATGCCTGTTTTGTGATCGATAAGTATTTTGATTGCAGTTATTGATGGTTTAAATTGAGTGAAAAACTCTGCCACTTCTTCATCTGTACATCCCTGTGGTATCCCTCTAATGAACAGAGTGTTTGGATTCTTTTTGCGTTGGTTATTTGTGGTATGCTGTTGTTGTTGTTGTTGTTGTTGTTGTTGTTGTTGTTGCGATGGTGGTGGTGAAGTGGCTGATGCAATGCTGTCAGCGTTGGTATGTTGTTCAGTTGCTGGTGCCATAGGAGCATTTGGTATGTGATTTGGGTGGATAGAGGAGTGTGACACGTGTGTCTGATCAGCGACCATACCTGTCACTCCAGCCTGTGCTTTCGATTGCGTCTGCTGCGTCTCGTCTATCTTTTGCGACTCATGTGGCACTGAGACGCCCACCTCCCCCCTACTACCACCTTCATTCGCAATTTCATTACCTGCCAACGCCGCCGTTTTTTGATGGTTACGATGCGAGTAAGTGAATCCCTCTGACTTGATCTCACTGCCCAGCTTTCCATCTTGGACAAGAAGCAGCACATTACCCACGCTGACATCACTCAAGTTGAAATGCCACGTGTGTTTCCACGCCTCTTCATGACTCGCAACGACGCCCTTGCCGTGGTTAGGACCGGGTACACGATCGGCGACGAGGAGGAAATTAGCGAGAAGAAGGCGTTGTGTGTCGTCGAGCACATCCTCCAGCTGTCCTCTAACGCTGTTGTAGATGCCATACACCGCTGTGCGTCCATTAACCAGCTTCTGCATAAACACTTCATAGTTGGGCACTACAGAGAAGTCGTTGTAGCTCGCACTCATCCGGAAGTGCAGCGAGGCTGACAGCGTTAGGTCAGCCTTGAGCACCAGCGCGAGCTGCGCCAGAAGTCCCTCGCGACCGGGCGGCGAGTGGGTGACGAGGAGACGCGTCTCGGAAGGGTCGTAGACCTTCTTCGCAGTGTCAATCAGCTCGCCCATCTGTAAAGCGGTTATCCACGTAGTGCCTTGTCCACCGGCTATAGTAGCCTGGCCGTCACCGTTGTCGAACAGCTTGTGCAGAACAAATGCACCGCCGAGACCAAAGAGCCTGAGCTTTATACCGCCAATGTGGAGAAGGTAGCTGGAAGCCTCGTCTAAAACGTGTAGATTGGGTATGTGGTATTCTCGCATACGTAGCTTTTCAAGGACACTCACATCCTCGCACGCCCCGCTGACAGCATAAACGGGGACATTGAGCTTGAGAGAGTGGTTAAGGAGTGAGGGGAAAGTGCTGAGCATGTGTTCATTGCCATTCTCTTTCTCGCTCAACGCTGCTCTTAAGCTGGTGACTGAACTGTGGTCGTTGAGTAGAGAATGGCGCTGATCTGTGGATATAATGGGCGAATAGGTTATCAAATGACGCAAAACTTTCTCAGTGGCTCTATCTATGCTACTTTTTTCTGAGTGCTGTGAGTGGAATTCCTGCCGCCGACGACGAGACACACCAAGAAAACCAATATCGCCCGTGTGAATAATAATATCAGCCTTGTAATCCTCTGCCAGTCTATAGAAATATCAGCGTGTCCATCTCCCCGCGAACGTATAAATCTACCCACCGATTCAAACAATCGAAATCACCTCTAACGTCAGCGAGGCAGAGTACTGATGGTGGTGGTGCGTTAGAGCTTGTGCTGTGTGTCCATTTCACACTCTCAACTTACATCTCTTCCCATTTATATTTTGTATCATCTGGTGGTATCTGTTCAAGAGGCGAATCGTATAGAGAATAATCGATTTTACATTTACAAGCAATTTACAAGCAATTTACAAGCAATTTACAAGCATTTTCGAGTATTCACAAGGGCCGTGGTCTGCCTCTCACTGCACTCGGCTGTGGAAGCAAACTGCTCCTGCGTGTTTGACTATTCTCAGATGCAATTGAAGCACGCGGTGGTCTAATACTCCTACGACGCCCTTCGTTGGGTGTTTTGGTTGTGTTGTTAATGCTAGCTGTGCTAGCTGTACTAGTTGTGCCACTTGTGCCACTAGGCAGAAGACTCGTCCGTGACGACAGTGTAACACGCGGTTTTAGTGATGTACGAGTGTTGTTGGCTGTGCTAGCATGTTTATCCGTGTTAGCTGTGCTCTGTCTTTTCCGAATAGTCTGCGCTGTTGGTCTGATTGTATGTTTGTACGACTCGGGTGGGACGCGTTGTGCTGGTTTTACTGATGCCGCTCTCGCTGGTGCTACTTTCAATGGTGCTCCTCCCACTGATGCCGCTTTTGCTCCTTTTACCGGGCCTGAGCCCGCTGATGGCCTCCTTACCACTGCTGTTGCTATGCTCTTGCCAGTCGATATGCCAGTCGATGTTGAAGGTATAGCTGACTGCCTACGCGGTATTGAATTGATTGTGCTTAGAGGCTTACGCGGTGGACCATTGATTTGATTTCTAGACTCGATTTTGTTGCTGCTCTCTGTCTTTATTTCTGTTTCGTCATTCTCGTTCACCTTGGATTGATTTGATGGCTTCAATGGCTCCTTTGATTCCTTCGACCCCTTCATATCACCCGCATCATCTATCTCACCGCCATCAATCGAAGGCTGTAAACAAAGTGAGTGGAGATCATTAGCGAGAAGATCGAATGACGAATCGAGTGTGCGAGGAGGCTGATTGAATGCCTTATCGAGATCGAGTGTTGTGTTCTGAGTCGTTGGTGTGTTTGAGTGTCTGTCTTGTGCGTCTTGTGCATCGTGTGCATCGTGTGCGTCATGTGTTTCTATGCTCTCCAAACCAAAACTAACACGCCCACTACTTCCACCACCGCCACTCTCCCGCCTCAGAACATTTCTCCTCAAATCACGTTCCCGTATACGCGTTAATGATGGGCTGGATGGACTGTTTGGATTGCGAGGAAAGCCGTCTTTCTGAATACTCTGTGGACTCTGGAGCATACCTGGGCTATCCAAGCTGCATGTACTGCGTGTACTCTGCGCACTCTGTGCACTGCCATCACCCACACTGACACTAACACCTTCTAAATCAGCTGGTTTTGGTGTCTTGAGCAACTCTTCATAGCGTGATCCATTGAGTGAGAAATTGATTGATGTGGCTGGCGAGGCTGGTGAGGCTGATGATGACGATGTTGCCATGGTGAGTTGATTGAATTGAGTTCGCAGACTTCTTGTGGTAAGCACATTGCCATAAAAACAATCAAATCCATAGTTACTACACCTAATAAGAAACAAACAAAGACATATAAGAGACATTTAGAAAAACCTAACAACCGAGTGTGAAAAATGAGTGTGAAATTTTTATCATCTAGTAGTGTACCAGAATATCCTTCTCAATGGCTCAAAATAGCTCATATCCTCAATGCCAACTGCTCATTGAGCCTTGTATAGGCATCAGTCGATGCTTCGGGCGGTGAAAGTGGCGTAGGCAGCGAGAAGGCATATCGCTTGCTATCGTCAGGCAGGTATGGTGTGCTGAGGTCTCTCTTGATTGAGTGATTTGGTTGAGACAAAGCTGGGTAATATGACGCCAAGTAGGGTTGTGAGTGTGAGTATATATTTGAGATTGGTTTAACATCGTCAACCTCATCCCCCTTGTTGTCCCTCCTATACCTCAAAAACCTCGTATTGAAATTGAGCTGAGGCACTTGTCTACTTAGCACTGCCTGCTCATACTCCTTCAGATCCTCTCCTGCAGCTTCACTCGCGCGCGGTGGACCTGACAACATAGGCAGTCTGTACTGGTCGCTGAGAGACTGCTGTTGTCTATGCAATACTGTCCTACTCTCGTTTCCTTTCACTTTCCTTTTCTGTGCCGGTGGCTGGTTCAGTTTGAGTGAACTGACGTCGTTCATACCCTTGTGTGCTGCTGCAAGTGCAAAGTCATTCTTGGCCGTATGTGCAATTTCATTCGATTGCTCTTGTTGTGGCGGTGGTTGAGGTTGTGGCTGCGTCTGCTCCTGCTCCCGCTCTTCCGTCGCATTGGCTGACATGGGCACAGACAGATACTGCGACCAGAGATCGTGCATCGATAGGTCATTCTTGGAAGAGGTATTGTGCGTCGAGATGCTGTCTCTGTCTTGTCTACCATCTCCACCGTCTATTTCCCTACCATCGTCCACACCCAAACTGTTAAGCAACTGCTGCATGTCCACGCCATCAAAAGGTAATTTGGAGGTATCTGGCTGTCTTCTGTCCCCTCGACTAACTGGATTAGCTGAATTAGCTGAATTAGGCGACATGGGCAGCTTAAACTCGAGTGGTGTATGTGGTAAGCCTGCTGTATTGATATAACCACTTCTATCAGCACCATCATTACCGAGCTGAGATTCGTAGACATGCTTAAAGCTGTCAACATCAACTGAAGACTGGTTATTGAAGAAATTGGACCAAACAGCTTCAGTCTGGCTGGCAACGTTGGAGAATCCTATAGATTCTGGGTTGTATGCGACAGAGCCGAGGTCTAGAGTTGGCTGAGACTGCTGTGATTTTTGCTGTAATTCCTCTTCCCTATATAGATGCTCCTTCTCGCTCTCCTTCTCCTGTTTCGATTGCTGTGTCTGCGCGAGCACATTCACCTGCAGCTTACGATTCAAACGCTGTCCTTTCTTGGGGATGAGTGGATGGCCTGCGTGGCACTTGGATTGGTGGCGGCTGAGAAGATCGCTGGGGAGTGTAAGATGATTGGCTGGTCGGTGGTAGACGCAAATACCTCCTAGAAAACTATAGAAGAAAGGGATTTAATCAGCCAGTGTATTTCACATAACAAGTCAACTCACAGATTCATTGCATATCTCGCACTCGTACGGCTTTTCACCCGTGTCTACTAACTTGTAAGTCGCGCCTAAATGCAGTGCTATTCACTCACGTGTTCTCATATGTCCTGTATCCTTAAATTAGCGGTGTCTTCTCTCTCCACCACTCCCACTCACTGTACACATGCTGCTTCCGCGTAAATTTGGCCCTGTGAGCGAGTTAATTGTTGTGATATCTCAATACTCCCACTTACTGGCAAGTTGGACAGCTGAAATTTGCTTGTTCGGTCATATAATGATTGTCCCTAACCTCCTGAGGCGTGATCATCTCGCCGATCCTCATTTGCTGAGTGAAAATAAAAATGAAATTATTAAAATACATTCTCAATCAACAGCTTAAATAGTGGCAGCAGATTCTCCATATTTGGTGTATTTGGCGGTATCAAGGGGGTATTTTGCAATTGATCCCGAGTCTCACCTAGCTCACCGTCCTCACTCTCACTAGCATCACCACTCACTTCAGTGGTCAACACCTCATCTACCCCTAGACTTCCAACTAACCCAGCAACCCACTGTCCTGCCTCTGTTTCATCTGTTTCACCTTTCTCATCACCCTCTTCCTCTTCTTGTCCCTCCCTCACCCTTCTCATCATGCGCTCCTCATATTGGAGCTTCTTCTGATAATTGTATTCAATTGTCTTGTCAGCTTCTTCCATTATCCACCGCCGCTCCGTTTCTCCAATTGGAAGTATAAATTCCAGATCCATCTTCTTATCAGCATCAACCCCATCGCGTAGGAAATCGTAACATCCCTCAATCCACTCTCCGAAGCTATCGAACAGTGCATCCCCTTTAGAGTGAACATTGTGAACGAATGAATAGAATTGATTCTGATGGCGTGTAACTAGATCCACAAATATATGCACCGCATTTATTGGATTCGAGTGCTGCTGTTGCTCTTCCTCTACTCTCTCAACCACATCAATCAGGTCTGTTATAAAGGCTTGTAAATCATAAAGCGCATCTGAAATATTAGCTGCTTTATAAACTTGCGCGAGTGGTGTATAAAATATCGTTACCATATCTTTTAATAACTCCGCTGTAACTCCTTCAAAAATCATCTCAATCATTTGATGACGCTCTTTAAGCTTCAATTGCAATTTGAGGAGATGATCTAGTTGGAAGAAGAGTGATGACATGTCTTCATCTTCGTCTGAGTCTTTGTCTATAAAAGAACTGTAACTACGCTGCACCATTCCCAGACTGGCGCTCGATATCTCATCACCTTTCAACACCACGTTTAAAACATGCGTCTCGAGCTTATCGGCTTCCTCCTTGCAATAATTATGCACCTCAAATGGAGATGCAACAAAGTGCGCAATCTTGCTTATTATTTCTTGGTTCTGTATCCTCTCCTTAACAAGATCGACATCATCCTCCAACTGCTTAATTTCTTCGTAGATAGAAGCAGAGAACATCCTATAGATGTGTGAGCTATTAAAACCCAAAAAAATACCAAACAAACCTCTGTAATACACTCTTTTGTCCGAATGGCTGCGCAAGAAACAAATCAATTACACCCCTAACCATTGCCATCGGGTTGCTAATCTTGAGTATACCCCTCAACACAAAATACGGCATGAGACTGTGAATACTTTTCAATCCGCTGAAGGTCTCAGAAGATGTATCACTACTGATAAATGTCGAGTAAAGTGTAGACGCGAATGATATTTTAGCCCATTCGACCACCTTTGAGTATTGTGATGGAAGGGTTTCAATGGTTTGATTATCCTTAATCAGACTAAACATTCTCTTGAAGCCATTCTTGGATGATATATCCGATTTAAACTGCTTGACACTCTCCATAACCTCAGCTGCACGCTCATCCATTTCCCTCTTGAATGAATTTTTGCTTTCCACTTTCATAGCATCATGTGCCAGTCTCTTGTGAATATCTTTAATTTCCTCATCAGACAGCGCTGTGGGGTTGGAGAGGAGGAAAGATTGAAGAGTGGTGGAGTTGGCAATTGCAGATGACAAATTGAGTAAATCCTTCAAATAGGCTCTTAAAGTCAATCTATTCTTTTCTCTGAACAGTGTAGAGTTTGAGGATTTGTCTTTCTGGGGTGGAGAAGGGATATCATCGTCGGTGAACTCCAATCTGAGTTGATTAGACAGAGCCATGAAATCGTTGTAGGATCTCGCAACATATATATCCTCAGATCGAGCCTGATTCGTCAGCTTTGAATGTATTATAAATTCGTCGTCGTGTTTGTGATGTAATAGGGATTTCTTTTGATGTGCTCTGATAGTGACGATGTTTATATGCAATTTGTGTGTGTTAGTGGAGTGCTTGCGCGTATACTGCTTCAGATCGTTAACATTTACCCTGATGACGTCTTCATCCTGCACCATCTTGAAACCGCTCGATAGGAGAATGGTCATGTGCTTCTGTAGCTTGATAATTAGGGCTTTTCTCTTTGTGAGCTCATCCTGGTCAATTGATGATGACAAGTTTCGCGATAAGAAATCGTTTACGAACACCTGGAGCTTATCAGACCAGAAAGAGGGCGGCGAGGAAGTGAGAAGAGGGAAAGTGATGATAAATCTATTGAAGATGTATTTGAGCAGAGGTATTGAAGTCGGGGATGGATTCACTGGCTGCGAGAATGGATTACCAAGCAAAGAGAGTCCATCGGGCTTAGATAGCTGATCCATCTCATTCTCCAATTCCCTGCCAATGAGATATTTCTTGATATAGTGGCATCTCAACGGATTTAAGTCCACGTCCATCACCGTTATGGAGAAGATGTGCTTAATCGGATTGCTGTGGTGTTTATTAACATCAATTATTTATTTATCTTCGGTTTACTTTACAGGGAATTCAAGAGGGGATAGAAATTCAACCAACGTTATTAAATCTCGTCTACAAAATGTTATGGCGTCAACGGTGATCGATTTAACTTTGGTTGTGGCTTTGTACTTGAGAAGCGGCTATAGCTTTACAGACACGCTCAATCTACTCGGTCTCACTCATTTACAAGTAAAATCCATCGCACTTACTCCACTGCTTTACTTGGGATACATTTCTCAAGTAATTTTAACTCACTCTCTTCTCTCTGAATCTCTTGACATTTTCTTCCTCAGAAATTTCATCATTGCTCCCATCACAGAGGAAGTCTGCTATCGATTGTGTATAGTGTCTTTGCTCAGGTTGTATACCCACCCACATTCAAACATCTCCATCGTTCTCTTTTCTCCATTCTTCTTTGGTCTCTCTCACGTACATCACGGTGTTGTTTCTTATCTACAACACAAATCTCTCTCAAAATCCATCTTAACCACATCCTTCCAATTCGCCTATACCTCTCTTTTCGGCTCATTTGCTGCATTTGTTTATCTCAGAACTGGTTCTATTTACCCTTGCATCATATCTCATTCTCTCTGCAATTTCCTTGGATTGCCAATGATCAACGAAATTACGCACCTCGATAGCAAATTAAGCAAGACAATTATCTCATCCATATACTTGATCGGAATCTTTCTATTCATGTACCTCCTTTGGCCTTTGACTAGCTCAACTAACTCTTTTTGGATCCAGTGATTAGATTTTTTTTGCTGTACAAAACTTAGACTGAACGTCTGAATATATCATATTCTCCGGACAGAGGAACGCTTGTGCTGTTGAATGGCTTTAAAGGGGCTTAAAATTTCAGCATATACAGTCTTACTGAACAGCGTTATCTTTGGAAGCAAAAGAGCTGTAATTAGTTCAGACGTTTTAGATATGTAAAAAAATGCTTTTAAAATGTTATAATGCTGATTTTTGCCTATAGCCAATGAATAATTTTAAGGTGATAATTATTTTAAGCGGTTTTATTATTACGTTTGTAGAACATGTCAACAATCAATTAGTACAATGGATATCAGCATTGACTAAATATCGGTTATGTGGTAGGGGCTATCCTCCCAGATTCTCATTCTGGAGACCCGGGTTCGATTCCCGGTAACCGAATAAATTTTTGGATTTGGCTTTTGGGCTCAGGCATTTTTCAAATGAAACCTGCGAAGGTTTCTCAGATTAAGGGATACAAAAAATTTCCATCACTCACTTAAGTCTAGTAGAACTTTTCGGATTTATTGCTTTTTTTTGGGAGGGTGATTTATTTGCTTTTCTCTTTGCTTTTCTGAACTTTGACGAGGTAGTTGTATAACTATCACGTCCTGACTTATTTTTCAAGCAGCTTTTCTCAAAGTATGAATGCTTAAGCAATTCTTTTCTTTCATCAGTCCTAATGTTGTACTTCCAATCTTAAATTTGTTCTTTATTGTAAAGTTGTTTGTGTTACTTTTCTTATCGTCTCAAAAGGTTTGCTCATATTATTGAGTCTCTTGGATATTTTTCCTCAGTAAAAGGTCGGGTTTTCACGACCATTTCTTTTAAATGTAAGTCCTGTACTTTATATGACAGCATACCAAGACCTTTACTACCCAGTGCTACTTGATCTTTTTCTGTTTGGGATAGCAAGCAGCACGAGCTTTGGCTGCTTTCTTCTCAGTCCGTTCGTTATTTTTCATTTTTACTTTTGGTTTTGGTTTTTGTAAAATATCTCAAATTCAGTACGATTCATTTTCACAGTAAGTCATTTTTAATTTTAATCCTATATATGCGTCATTCCCCAAAAATCTAAGTCTTTGTCGCACATAGCCTTCAAGATCACCCTCAAGTAAAAATTGTTTGTTGACATCTGAAGACATTGTAGAAAAATTGCGTTGCCCTACAGAGCTGCATTTCCCTTAAATTTCTTTTGGTGCTCAAGCGGCTAGGTCTGATATACATCGAATGAATTCACTGCAAAAATATTGACATTAGGAACGTTAATAGTTATACTAACAATTTTAGAAGCTAAAAAATTATTTTAAATCGATCGCTATTACCGCTGCTGCTTCTTATCAGTCTGGCATCGTTTGTATTAGGTCTCTCACTCAGAGCAGCGAAACTACACTTAACGTTATGGCAGATAGTATTGAAGTGTAGAGGAATTTACCAAGAAAAAAAAAGTTTTCCAATCCCTGGTCGTAGAGTTGAAAGTAAACATTCAAAGAGATATGTGCATTTATAAATAATTTGAAATAAATTGACAAAAAAGTCCTTGCTTAGCATTCTATTTTTTGTTATTGCCGAACACTTACTATGAAAGCGAAACATATCAACAATAACATAATCATATGTACAAAAACATTTTGTCGATAAATCCAACCTTCGAAAATCTACTGACACTAATTATCTCGTATTTTCTAAATTTTTTAGAGTTAAGTGTTGAGTTGATATTATCAAAGTAAAAAATTGGCAACATGTAAATTTAAAAATTCCATAGTGATACTTAGCTCGAATGAGAGCCATAGGAGTCCTATTGATGATGATGATGAAATATGAATATATTTTTAAGACGATACATGTTTAATCTGCGTCCATCAATACTTTTTAAAGCATGAGGATTCAAATGGGGTGCTGAATTTACTGGTAGCGTTTCTTGACTAGCGTCGTAGTTTGTAATTTGTTGAAGGTTCTCAATTACCCTGAACCACCGGAGTATCTTTGGTAAGTAGTCAATTGCGGATTAAACAAATCATAAAGGGCTTATCATACGAGTCCTTAGTTGTTGTGATTTTCTGCGAAAATTTGTTTAAAAGATATAAATTATTTATAAAAAAGTTTCGATATCGGTTCGATGGTCTAGGGGTATGATTCTCGCTTTGGGACACCAATTTGCGAGAGGTCCAGGGTTCAAATCCCTGTCGAACCCTTTTTTTCCTTTTACAATCTTAAAAGATCATAATTCCTGTCAATTATGTTGATGGTGCAGCTGATGAGACCGCTCGATTTCAGAGAGCTCGAAATTAAACTGTTCGTGTTGTTTGCTGTCTGTATGACTCCACAATGTCCGGAGTTCGAGAGCGCGGAGGAGCGTTGAAGATACAAAAAGGAAAAAAAAAGAAAAACAGCTTTATTCAGAAACAAAGATTGCTTCATGATGCATAATTTGCTCAAAAATATTAGTTCGACTATTAGCAAAATATTTCTTTTTAATGTCCTATGTATTAGAATTAAATGTAGATATTATACAGCAATGAAATGAATATGTGTGAAAGAGTGAGGGCACAAGCCAAGCAAACACCGTCGCTCAAACGAGTCCCCCCCCTCCCCCAATCAAAGAATGATGGCACCAAACATGGCCGAAACAATGGTCAAACCAAAGAATCTATATGGTAAATTTGACGAGGAAAGAGCGCCAGAAGAGTTATTCTCTTCAAGTACAGCGACGCTGTTAGAAGGTCAATAGAAGTACTACTGAAAACACTAAACAAACCCACCTTGGATCAACAGATGGTGACTCCTTGATAGCTGGATTAGACTTGGTCGGTACAGCATTGGAGTCAACGGTTTTGCCGTCCTGAAATGGTGTGACTTGTGCTTTGCCCTCTCCTGTCTTCGTTGGTTCTCTGTAGTCATCCTGGTAGGTTGAAGTTTTTCCAGTGCCTTCAAAGCTACCTTTCTCCTTCTGTGTGCCGTCAATCATTGAGATGATGTTTGCACATGCAATCCGTGTGTTAGATTCATCCGTGATCACCACAGAGCGGCCGAGAAGAGAGAACGGTTGAGGGAAGAACCTGAGGTATTCATCTCTAAATTCCTCTTTGCATGAGCCATGGCTGTGCATTTTGAGCTGGCCATGTTTGCCTGACAGGTCACCTTCTTTGCAGTACTCTGGTTTCTTCTCGTCGCAGATTACGTTCTCTGGAATACCAACTGGGTTGACTAGAGAGGCGTTAGATTCGGTGGTATCTAAGCATTTCTACCCACGGATATCTCCTGCACTGTTGCAATCGCCATCATCTATCCGCTGCACGTTGACGGAATAATTGTATCTCTTGTGCTCTTCCAAACCCTCATTTATATCAATCTCAACGACTGTGGGCTCTTTCCAGTTACCTTTAATCTTCACATTACCCTTGATATTGTCTGTAAATTGTGCGTGTGCGATTTGATGTATGTTCTTCCAATCGATGTTGTTTGGATCGTCTGGTGTTGCTTTTTCATCGCCGCTGCTGCTTGCAGTTACCATGTCTGACTTGTCAAAGTTGCTATTGGTGTCTTTTAATTGTTGCGTTGTGTCTTGCTGTTTCGGTTGATTACCGCCGTTGAATGCATTAATCGCGCTGCTGATAGAACCATTCATGTCTCCAAGCTGTCTGGAGTTGATGGCAGCTGCTGATACTGCTGCTGAAATAAGTGAGAGTGCTGCGATCCTGTTCAGTAACATTTTTGATGTGAAAAATCCTGATTCCTGGTGAGTGTTGTAGTAAGTTGATGCGCTTGCTAATGAAGAAAGAGAGTAATTCAGTCTCCCTTTTATATTCCTCAATATCATTCCATTTCTTCCCCTTCCTCCGCCTACACAAACGCGACATGCCTACCGGATTGTCTGGAATGTCTGGAATGTCTGGAATGTCTGGAATGTCTGGAAGATCTTGAAGATCTGGAATGCAATGAAGATATAAAGTAATATTAACATTTATACAATTTTGAATGAGCAGAATCTCAAGAAAATGCTGCTGGATTTATGCTACTTTCATTATAACAAGATTTTTAAGAATGCTGATCATGATTGGTTCTAAGAAATGCGTGAATGCCATTGTCGTTGCCGAGTTCATATGCTTATTATGCGAGCGAGGGAATTGTGATGTGATATGACCACCTGTCTTCCATGTGACCCTGTAGAGTGTCTTCCAGCAAAATGTTTTGTCTTGACTTGACGTAATTAGTAGCATTTTGCATCTGCGAGCGTAATTCAGGTATTGTCTCGACGTCCAGTGGCTTTTCTAGTAGTTCTGAGAGGTTCTCTACAGCCTTCTCGAGATCTGCTTGATTGTCCTCGAACAGTTCCGTCATCGAGTTACGGTCCAAGTAGTAAGCCATTGCGTATGTCCACTTGAGAGTCATGCGACACTTGGTCACTGTCTCAACTGCCTTTTTAACAAATTGTACTTCAATCCAGGTCAATGATGTTGATCTTTGCATTTCATCCATCTTGCGCTCGGTCTTTGCGTAAAGCTCTTGGTCTAAACGGGCTGATTGCTCGTGGTTGGAAAAACGATTGTAGTACTGTTTAAATTGATTAGTTATTTATGACGTCAATAAAAATAAACTCACATGAAGATATCTCTCCAAAGACACTCTGCTCTTCTGCTGACCGTCACGTGCATCTTTGCCAGACTTATCCTCAAATCGGTTGCAGTTATAGTAGCTGGTGCCATGCGCGCTCCAGTCACCCATGCATATCCAGCACCATTCATGACGACACTTGCGACAAGTCATATGATTACAGCCACCGTTCTTTTCAATCGTGGAGTGACACTATGGGGTACTCTATTAGTAAACGAATGGGATATCAACAACAACCCACCCTTGGGCACTCCTTTGTGTTGGCGCTGATCCAATTGGCAGTTTCACTGTCATCTTCACACTTTTTCACCCACAACTTGGTGACGCCACATAAAGCTGGTCTATGATCACCGCTGAAGCTACAGCCAAAGCAGCTCGCCTGGCCGCATTTGCATACTACTATCGGAATAAGCGATTCAAGATCAGAGCCTCTGACTTGACACTCGATGACATTTCCGCAATCAGGTCCCGGACAGAAACGCAAACCCCTCCTGTTATCCTCAACGTATGTTTTATTTGCGAGGGTCTGATATCTTTGGAAGATATATTCTGGGACAACTTGGCTGATTACCTGCTCGCTCATGACAGTCTGGATATTGTGAGCCGTGTCGGTTAAGGAACAATATGAGTGCGCACCTGACAGTCACCCTGCATACATTCTATTTTGCGGCTTTCACCCTGACCGCTAATCTTCTCTTCACAATGCATCTTCCAGCAGTCAGAGCAGAATCTGTGACCGCATGCGAGAGCGAGTGTCTGGTAGCGAATTAGAAGACACAACAAGTGAACAGACAACGCACCTGAGTCGAGGTATCTTCGGAACCAGTAAAGCAGATTTCGCAAGTGAAACCCTTGACTCTCTTCAAACGCACTGGGCTATTGGCACGAGAGTCGGACTGGGCAGAGGCCGAAGTACCCGGAGCAAGACCAACTTGCTTGAGAATGCGTTCTGGGTCCTCGCTGTAGCGTTCAATGAGTTTCTCCCTATTCCAACCAAAGTGTCGCAAGAGGATAGTGGCATCCTGTCGCTGTTAAGGCGATTAGCTGTAAATAATAAGCCATAAAGGAGCTTACCTGTAAGCCAAAGATGCTACAGACTTGCTCAGTTTCTGACTGCTGATTTGAGATAATGTCATTGATGTCGTATACCTTGTAATCAACATCGAATTTGGATTTCTTCGGCTTTACTGGCTCGTTAACGATGAAAGCTTCGTTGTCCTCGATCTCAACGTCGTCGTCTGAGAAAGCCTCTGAGGGGTTGCTGGATTGATAGTCTGGGATGTTTGAGTGGGGATGGAACGTGGGTCAAAGCGGTGAAATCTCACCTTCGACGATATCAGAGCCTTCGAATGATGCTGCGTCCATGTAGTTATCGCTGTCGTCGCTCATCTCTCGGTTGTTTTGGTTGCTGCGATGGTGAATGTGGAAGAGATAGCGCGGGATGGGCGGATACGAGCACAAAGGCGGAAATTTTACGGCGTAGATGGTACAAAGAGTGGCGTATATCTAATAAACATCTGTATTCATTCATTTCACATCGCTCGACAAATACGCCGTACCTTGACATCTCACAGAAGCAGTACGAGGTGAAAGCGGGCTAGAAACTTGGAAATCTCATTAAGACAAAAGTATTGCTGCCGCGCACAACACAACCACCAAAGGATCTCTCATCTGGCCATGTACTTGGAACCGGCGCCGAATCGCCACCAAAATTACTTGAGTTATTTCATTCACGGCGATTAGCGGCAGATACGGATACAGGCGATTCCCTCATGTCCCCGCAGTATCTCTCTCGAAAGTTCGAGCCGAAATCTTGCCTGCCTGCTTACTGATCTGCTTGCTTACAAACCCGAGGCTTTTACCGAAATATTCTCCTCAGCAACCTTTTCTCTCTCCAACACACATCAACTGAGTGAGTCTACATCTTCAAAGCTGCTGTGTAGACGAAGACGAATGTTACATCTTTGGCTTAGCAGCTGTCTCTTCATTCAACTCAACTAACCAACCAATTCAGACTACAGAATATGTCCGACAGAATTAGCAACGAACACGTCGACGTTAGCAAATCACTTGCCCAGAAGATCACTCTGCCTAATGGCGTGGTGATTCCAAACCGTTTCATAAAGTCTCCAATGACAGAAAGACTGTCTACGTACAACCAGAATCCAGATCCTAAACTCAGGGGTATTCCAACCCAAGCCCTCATCGACCTCTACAAGGAGTGGGGTCAGGGCGAAATCGGGTTGATCATCGCAGGCAACACACCAGTAGCCGGTGATCACCTTGAGGCACCAGCAAACCCTGTCCTTGGTATTGGCTATGACGAGCCAGCGCGTCTTCGAAAGTTCAGAGAACTTGTCGCTGCTTCCAGTGCCGGTGGATCAGGTGCGATGTTGTTAAACTATGGAAATCCTTCTAACATGCTCTACAGTGACTATCTGCCAAATCACCCACTCAGGCAGACAATGTTATGAGCAGGTAAACCCTCATCCTATTGCGCCTTCAGCTGTTCGTGTCGAAGGTGTCAACATGCCAGGTGTAACTTTTGGCCAACCTAGAGCAGCTACTATTGAGGATATCAAGAACATCGTCAAGCAATTCGCTTACACCGCCAAGCTCTGCAAGGATGTAGGATACCACGGCGTTCAGCTCCACGGTGCTCACGGCTACTTGTTGTCTGCTTTCCTCGGCAAGCACACGAACCGTCGTACAGACGACTATGGTGGATCTTTGGAGAACCGCGCACGTATCATATTCGAGATTATCGACGCGATCAGAGAGCAAGTCAAGGATCCTTCATTCATCCTTTCTATCAAGCTCAACTCGCAAGACTTCAACTCAGACAGTGGTCTGACACCTGAAGAGTCACAGAAGGTCTGTCAATGGCTAGATGAGAAGGGCATCGATCTCATCGAGTTGTCGGGTGGTTCATATGAACGTTCGGCTTTCTCTAACTCAGCACCAAACCCTCGCGAGGCTTACTTCATCGAGTACTCCGAGAACGTTCGCAAGGTTATCAAGAATGCAGTGGTAGGTGTCACTGGTGGTTTCCGCACTGCAAAGGCTATGTCTCAAGCTGTTGAATCTGGCGCTACTCAGATGGTTGGTTTGGCTAGACCACTCTGTGGAGAGCCACACCTCTGCAAGGATATCCTTTCAGGCAAGGTTTCAAGTGCAAAGAAGACGCTCGTCAACCCTCTCTTCTCACTTCCCCTTGCAGGCACTCAGCTCACTGCGGTTGGTTACAACGACAAGCCATGGGACGCATCAAATGAAGAAAGCGCTAAAGCTTTTGAGGCCATTTTCGCCGACTACGCTAAGGACTTTGGCGTTGACGAGAAAGGCAACCCTATCAGACCTGACAAGGCTGGTGTTGCAGGTTTCATGAAACTTGCCTTGGACAAGCATGGTAAACACTATGGTGTATCCCAACAAGAGCTTATCGCATCAGCTTAAAATCCACTCATAGAAATTCACATTGTAATAATGACAACTCATTTATGCCACTCCGCCTTCTTTAGGTATAGAAAATATTGAAACTCTAATCATGTATACACAGAAACCGCTAAGATGGACTTCCAGTAATCAATTATAGCAGAAGGTTTCCAATCACTGCTGTCAACAAAGCAGTAAACAGACTACTGAAAAAGTTGACTTGGGTATTAGAGAAGAGATTGAAGCCAGAGATCAGCTTAACTTCAGCCGTTTCCTTTGACTTGCTTCTCCGCGCCTCATCGTACATCCTCGCGAATGCAGGATCAGAGCCATCAGTCAAAATTTTGCCTCTCTCTTTATGCAGCAGGGTGCGTTGGAGGGTAGCACCTATCAGAGAATCAAGCAGGCTTCCAAAGAGGCCAGAAAAGACAGAAAGCAGGAGCAGTTTGGCAGAAGTGAAGGATATGAGTGCCTGACCGAAAGAGAAATTTTGACCAAAGCACGATGAGTCTTCGATGGCCAGAGATATAACAGCTGTGAGACCAATTAGCAGTCCACCAGCACCTGAAACTACAACTCCGAATGCTGAATCGAATGAGTTATTATCACATTGTAGCAATGCACACTCACAGCTAACACCGCCGTTCGTGCCTGGAGGTACTGTCTTGCTCGGATTGGTGACTAGTCGTGGGAAGTTGCCTGAAAGTATGCCGAGCTGAGAGTGTGTTAGACGACTGACAATGCAAACCACGATACGCACCTCAGAAGCGAGCGTATCAGCACTACAGCACGCGTAATGTCCAAGAGCCATCAACAGCAGCGTTTGAGAAGATATGTAGACTGAGCTGTGCAGTATACATTCAGAAGTATCTGTGATATCAGCAGGGGTGATGATGACGTGTTGCACTCTGTAGATGATAGCGCAGATAGCGCCAGTGTAGGAGTTTGCCAGCACCTGGAGCCAGTTTCTCACTCCACCTGGCTTTTCACTGTCATGGCCATCCTCGAGCTGAGCCTTGACGTAGTGTTTAACCTTGTTTGAGTTGAGTTGGGTGCTGCTTTCAAGGAAAATGCACAGACGCACCTTTGTAGCTTTGGATCCGGAGAGGTAGAACACGATGAGCATTACTCCGAATGAGCAAATGGTGCTCGACAAAGACGCGTATCCTACGATGAATGCTGAAATTGCACCAGAGAGAGAGAGAGAGCGCTTCTTCAAACCAGAGTAGGCGAGATATGAGGCTACTAATATTGCTATCAGATCCCTCCGCGGCTGTATTTGCGGATGCGAGAGACGTGTGCTTTCATTCTGGCTCGCAGAGAAGAAGGCAATGACGGGAGCGAGGTGGGAGGCGTGGAAGTGCGCTGAAGCCTGTAAGAATTGATTGACGGGCATCTGCGTACACACCCTCCACGCTGCACAATAACAATGCGGTTACTGTCAATGACGCTATCATTTGATGACTGTCGAGGACAAGGAAGCGTCATAAGCGGGGCTTTTGAATCTTGAAGATGATTGGCTACTGTATAATAACCGTATCGCGCTCGCTGGGAATTCTGTATATCTCAACTCAGGGCTCGACGCTTAAGACGCTTAGGACGCTTGGAGTAAGAAGCGTGGTGTGAATTTAAGTATAACAGCACACATACGCTATTAATTACTCATATCACAGCATTTCTCGCACAATTTCCCTCACACGCCACACCACCCAGACACACCACACAGCACCCGAAAAACGCCGGAATAAAACGAAAGGCATCACACGCGCCACAGAAGAGGCTTCAAGCGTAAATAGATGCTGCGGGAGCTATAAGAATATTGGGGTCCGAACACGGGCAGTACAGTACCTCGCTCGGTTACATAATCTAGCAACTTTTCCGCCCACCGAATCTGACACGAGTGTGGCTCAGGAGAATTTTACAGAAGCTGCATGTAGGCGGTAGGTTGTGTGCATATTCATACCAAAACCCACCTGATTTGCAGACCAAGAATCTTCAAATATCACCCAAGCTCAGCCCGACCAGCGGGAAATATACGGTATCACGGCTTATTCAAATACAACCAAGGGAAAAATATTTAAATGCATCATAGATGTATATAAACCTACCAGATATACAAAACGAGCAAACAACGACTATACACTCAAATTACGCCCCTCAGAGGCCCAAGCTATCTTCAACGCGCTCGAGAGGCCGTTCCATCACCCAAATTCCTACAAGCAGTACTCCAGATGCTGATGTGCAGTTTAGCTTGCAGCAGCAGCCACTCTTAGCTGCCGCAGACAATGAGTCCTCCGCGGAGGGCAGTCAGAGTGGTCGACCAAGGGCCAACTCCACTCAGAGTAAGCTCAACCAAACAAAATTTAGTGCCAGAAATAGAAGCCATTCACTCGAACTATCACCACCGCTAGAAGCACCGATTATCAGCGTGAAAACTTCCAAGGTTAGACCTTCAATCAACATTGAGAATATACCTCTGTCTCCAATCCACTCGCCATTGAACTCACCATCTTCTCCACAGATACCAGACCCTTATCCAATCAGACCAAAATTAAAGGATAGTTTGCCTGCTCTGGCCAAGTTGGCTGCTATCTTCGTCCTTAGCACTGCTTTTATGTTTATGGCACTGAGCTCAGTTAAGCAGCTACACGTGCCTCAGAAGCTCACCGACGTAAGAAAGTTGGCTTTTGATTTGAGAGCGTACATGACGCTATCGTCACTCAACTCGCTCCACGTCCTCGGCGTAATTGGCTTGATGTATGTTTGGAAACAAACATGGTCAATCCCTGGATCTGCAATCGTCAATGTTATTCTTGGGGCACTCCTACCAACTTGGATTGCTACCGCCTACGCTTGTTTGCTCACCGCCTTTGGCGGCTTCTTGAGTTCGTTCACAGCGCTCCCAGTCGCACCACACATCCACTACCATTTCCCAAACGCTATCAATAACCTTCGCTCAATCAACAAAGACCCATTCAGACTTTTTGAGAGGTTACTGATTGCAAGATTAATTCCGGTGATCCCATACGCTGTTCTCAATTTGGCAGGTGGCGTGGTAGGCGTATCCTATGTGCCATTTGTCGTTAGCTTGTGAGTGGATATATTGTCAAGCGGGAATTAAACTAATAATATGACTAGGTTCCTTGGTAGTATCCCTATGAACGGCGTAGCGTGTGCAGTTGGTGATGTCTTAGTCAGTCTAGCGTACGTCGACGAAGGTGAAAGTCTCAGTCACAGAATGTTTAGCAAAGAAATGATCATCAAGTTTGCATTTTTATCAGTGTTAGGATTACTTCCTGTGCTTTTGAAGCATATATTTGCGCCTATGGCCACAACAGCGACAGGAACAACAACTGCAACGACGCCAAAGCCAACATCATCGATACACTGGTCGATTAAGAAGCGTCTCAACAAGGTATATAGCCACCTCTTGCCAGCTTCATTGATAAATACAGATGCTAGCACAAAGAACACTGACTGTACAATATCTTAGAAACGGATCAATAGCTTTTCACTCTGTCATATGTTTGAACAATTGTAATGATTATTTAATTTGTTTTATAAATGCTCCCCAGCCTTCAATTTAAGTGATTTTGCATGTTGAAGTTGATCAATCATCTACTCAGATATTTCACAATGGCTGAGGCATCCAAAAAGGTAAAGCTAGATGGACAGTCTAGCAAGGTACGCTTAGGCTGTTTTTATGGATCATAGCTGACGTCGCTGCGTAGACGATTGGTACACACAACGGCGTTTTTCACGCAGACGAGGCATTGGCTGTGTTCTTATTGAGATTGTTACCAGAGTACAAAGCATCTCGTAGGTTCTGTCGCAAGCTTTTATACCAATTGACCACAAACGCAGCTGTTACGAGAACGAGAGATATCAACATTTTAAACCAAATGGATATCGTTGTTGATGTCGGTGACGTTTACGACCATGATAAGAAACGCTACGATCATCATTACAGAGGTTTCAATGAGGTGTTTGGTCATAACCACAACACAAAGCTCAGCTCGGCTGGTTTGATCTATAAGCACTACGGTAAGAAGATTATCAGTGGTCATCTGGGTTGGAATGAGGACGAGGAGCGTACACTGCAGATCTGGCTGAAGGTTTACAGAGAATTCATAGAAGCTTTGGATGCTATTGATAATGGCGTCAGTCTCTATCCTACTGTAGAAAACCTTCCTGAGGCTGCATACCGCAACAGGACTGATCTAAGCAGTCGCGTTGGCAAGCTCAACAGCAATTGGAATGAAGAATTTACCGAGCAGTCTCAGATGGTTAGATTCGAAGAGGCTTCCAAATTGACAGGAAAAGAGTTCCTTGAAAGCGTTGACCAGTACGCAAAGGTGTGGTTACCTGCACGTGATATTGTCGTGGATGCTTTGAGCAAGCGTAACCAAGTTGATGATTCTGGCAAGATAATCCTTTTCGAGACATTTTGTCCATGGATAGACCACTATTTTGAACTCGAACATCTCGATCAATTCCAAATAAAGCAAGGTGAAGAGCCACTCTACGCTCTCTTACCTGATGGCAGCAAAGGTTGGAGGGTACGTGGAATTCCACCAAACAGCACTACATTTGCTCTTCGCAAACCGCTCCCAGAACCTTGGAGAGGTCTGAGAGATGAAAAATTGGCGGAGGTTAGCGGAGTTCCTGGTACTATCTTTTGTCATGCAAGTGGATTCATTGGTGGTAATGACACATTCGAAGGTGCGCTCGAGATGGCGAGAAAGGCAGTCCAATTTTAGGGCCATCATATGTACATAAATAAGTTATCTAATAGTTGAAATTAGCTGCTACTTCATTCAATGCATCTTCGTCAGAATCTAGAAGATCTATTTCTTCTTCTGGTTGGGATGGTTCTGAGGGTTCATTTGGTTGATGAAGCTGATGAATATGATGCTGCGACACTGCTTGCTCCTTCTTCTCTTGCTGTTGTTTCTGTTGCTTCTTCTGCTCATCACTCACATTATCTTGCTTTGAATGATCAAAATTAGCAGCAACTTGGTCCAACGCATCTTCATCAGAGTCGAGTAAATCAATCTCCTCCCCATCTCGTTGCTGTAATGCTTGATTTTCTGAAACACCCGAGCCCGCATCCGCACCGGTCTGCTGAATACTTTGCGACTGGTTCTTGTTCTTATTCTCAACACCTGTATCAGCATTCTTACCAGACAGTTGTTGCCCTTTTACTCCAACTTTCAATGAATAGTTGAATGCTTCTTGCATACGACGCACTTTGACGTCGCCGAAACCAGGACATTTCGTCAGCTCATCGGGAGAAGCTTTTACAATATTTTTGAAGCTCTGTTGGGAATGTGAGTATGGTAGTGAGTTTGATGCAACACTTACACCAAATCTCGTTAATAGCTGATAGACGTCTGTCTTGTTAACACCTTTAATCGTCGTGAGGGCGTTATTGACGATACTCTGGTAATCTGTCGGCGTCTTCTCCTTTAGACTGTCTGGAGGTTTATTGTCGAGCTGGAGGTAGAGACTGAGATAATGACCTGCTTGTTGTGGACTTATGTGAGTGTTAGTTGTGTATGTTCAGCAGACACTGCACGAAACAGGACTTACGACCAAGCTATAACCACAGTCATGTTGTTAATTAGGCATGTCTGTTAAGAACACTGATTTAAGTGAATTCCATAAAGCACTCCATCGCAACTAACCTTTGTTACTTCTTTTATTGAGCCTTCAGAGTCTGCCTGGATTGATTTTGAGTACATCCTTATACGAAATCATAGACACTCACGACATCGCACATGAGGAGTAGTATACGAAGCTGATACATCGCGCCCAGACGCTCTATCCGCATGTGTATGTATTCTGGATGCAAGCGATGATATCGTAGACTTGTATGGGAAGTCAATACGCCTTTTACCAGTCGAAATAAGCCCACCTCAAGAACATAATACCTGTACTAGATCCAGCGACGTAATCTGGTACTATATCTGCATACTCCCAGTTGACATTTCTAACTTCTTTAAGAATGGGATTACCACGCTGCAATAGTCATCAGGCTGGGCTTCTCCTTCCCTCCACTGCAATCTCACCTGGCACGAATTCACCAGCACTGCATTCCTACTATTGGGTATTGCACGTTTAGGCGATTGATTTGTACTTTTCTGTGGCTGTGTCTGTGCTTGTCGAGATTGGCTACTCTGCGCTGCGCTCTGCTCCTGCTGAGCTCCGCTTCCGCTCAAGCTCATTTTGGCGTGATGTGAGTGCGTTATCAAGCCCCACTTAATATCAAATAGTCATGTTCAAATTGCTGACAACGCTTAAATACACTCCAAGTGAAAGTGAGCGTGTGGCGGATGGCGTGTACTTATGGGAAAGCCATATGCATCGCTTGCGTGAAGGTGTTGATGCGTTGAGCCCATTCTCTGCCTCGGATTTGAGAGAAAGCGACGTAACTAATGAATTGGCCCATTCAATTGGTCTTGCAAATGGTCTTAATCAATCTCATAGAGTTGGTTTTGCGTTTTGATTGATTAGCCAGCTAAAGTTTCCCCATAGGTCTCTGTAACTCTCGATCCAAGCACACTGGAAGTTTCAGCAACAGCAACAGAGCTCAAAAGTATGCCTGATTGTATGTAACCGCTGTGGTCGCTTTTATAACCTAATAAGCTGCTTAGATCCTGTGAATGTCGTGATAGACAAAGAACCCACGAGGTCATATTCCAAGGTGCTGCCATACAAGAGTAACAATAGGCGCATTTATTTGCAATCAAAGCTAAGGAATGGTTCGTACTACGTAAATACATTTTCATCTCACAGAAAATCGCAGGTGTTTCATACTCGACAGTTCGAGATAGCACGTTTGACGTTCTAATGCACAACAAAAATGGATACGTTACTGAGACGACCATTGCAAATATCTTCTACAAGTTCAACAATGACGACACATGGTACACTCCTCCAGTGGAAGATGGTTTGCTGCCAGGATTAATGAGGAGTCATCTCCTTGATATTGACTTCTGCTCAGAACGTTCGTTGTACATATCTGAGCTCACTGTGGGTGTCTAACTCGCTTATCAAAGTCTAATTCGCTTATCAATCTCAACTGGTCTGTTTGAAGAGGAATCACATAAAATTAAAAGCTGCAAACGCTTTAAGAGGATTGTTCGATATACAAATTACAGATAACCAAGGTTCACTTATTCCTTGTACCCCAACGCCTATGATGGAAGCACCAGCGAACTTACCCAAGTTGATAGTATTTGATTTAGATTACACTTTATGGGATCTATGGATAGATACTCACATTTCTGGTGGGTTAGTCTACAACCTTCGGATAACACCTAACAATGCTTCAGGACCGATAAAACCATCATCAAATTACAACGAGGTAATTCCAAGACGAGGATCGCCCTTTGGATTCTACAGAGATGTCCCAGAAATGCTACAGCGCTTGAAGAGTGAAGGAATTGAAATTGCAGCAGCGAGTAGAACAGCAGCACCGGATTATGCTTACGATGCACTTAAGCATCTCAAACTAAAGAATAGGAGTGGTGGTGATAATATCAGCGCAAAGTCTCTGTTCGATTACACTGAGGTATACCCCGGCTCCAAGGTGAAGCATTTCCAGAAGCTTGCAAAGAAATCTGGCTTTGCGTATGAGGACATGCTATTTTTTGATGATGAGTCTAGGAACAAGGAGGTTGAGTCGCTTGGTGTAACATTTCAGCTGGTTGGCGTTAGTGGCACGGATGAAAACACTTTGCAGAAAGGAGTCAAAGCCTGGAGACAGCGTCGTGGGATTAGCTGATGGATTCGCTATTTAATGATACATTTAGATTCATTTAGGTTTGTTTGGTGAGTGTGTGAGTGTTTGAGTGCTTATATTTGCATTCTAAATTGCATATCTTAGATAATACATAATTATCACCAAATCACAGCAGGTCAAAGTCATCAAGCTGATCTAGTATACGAAATCCACCACAACATAACGCCACTCACCTCGTCATTGTATTACCTTACAGCTCTTTTGAACACCCTCATTTACGCGTTTTGTTTCGCATACGCCCTACGCTACGCTCATAGAAATTGACAATTATAATTTATCATGATTAATTTAAATGCAAATATCATTTTATACAGTTTTATTGACTTGTCGATTGATAACTGTTCTATTTGAATTGATTTTATGAGTTGAATTTGTTGATCCACCTTGTCTTAACTTGATTACCACCTCAAGCTAATCTATAATCTACTCAGAACTGTATTCATGCGATCAATCAGGTATGATCTGATATCGTATACGCCATAAGTGAAATCTAAGCCAGTAAATGCACAAAGCATTTCAATAGCCTGCTTAAAACCACCTTCACTAAGACTACCTTGTTCGTAAAAGCGTGTTATTTGAATAGCGTCAGATTTAATCAAGTCGACCATTGTTGGTTGATGACTCAATTTTCTCTTCAACTCCATTATCCATGCTAACTCATTATCCATCCTCTCTTGCTCGACTGAGTACTTTTCATGATTAAGATCATCGACAGCAACAGCAGCTGAAGCGAGTGCCAAGAGGTGATTATTAGCATGGTGATCTGAAAGAGCGTAGTTTGGTGCGCTAATATATGAACCATCATGTCTAGTTTGAGCGGGGAGTGAATGTGACAAAGATTGAACTTGATGTTGTTGAGGGTGGTGGGTGTATGTATAAGACTGTGCTGCTGGAGATTCTACTTGGTTGACCTCTTCCAAATAATCGGTAGTCTCCTCATGTTCTGATGGAGTCGCACTACCCATTTCTGATTCAGGTCCTTGAACAAAGCTACTAGCAGCACTAACAGTGCTAACAGCACTAGGAGTACCACTTCCAGAAGCTGTAGCACCATTTACTTTACCTTTTCTAATATTATTGCGCTCTTTAAACTTTTCTACCCATCCTGACGACGCTTTAAACTTTTCCTCAGGGTATCCGAGCGAGCGAGCGACAGTTTTAGCCTTTTCGCGTATAGCGTGGTCTGTCAAGTAGTAGTTGGTTAAAGCACAGTCTTGTGCCCATGCGGATAAGCGTGATTCAATGTCAGGAAACTTTGAAGGTCTGATGTGATTATATTGAGGTTAGTATTATGCGTAATAATATGCAAATGGGAATTGAACCCACCTATGCTTAGCGACGCGTGCAGACGCACCACCTGGAATAATAGACTTCCACTTATCTTTTTGTTTGAGTATCTTTGAAACTGTGCTACGCTCAATCTGGTAACGAGAAGCGATATCTTCTTGACGTGCACTAGGGTTCTCTTCAGCAAACACACAAATAGCACGTCGGGTTTCGTTGATTAGTTTAGTTTTGCGACGTGGACCAATTGAGCTACCAGCAGAAGTGTTTGAAGAGCCACTGGGAGAGGGAGCCATGAGAGATTGAATGCCTGGAATCTGATTTGACATCCAATGTGGAGAAGGAGAATGCTTTGGAGAAGGCGTTGCTGCAGCTGACTGAGCTTGTTGCTGCTGAAACGAGAAGGAAGTTTGGGACGTTGAAGCGACACTGTTTGTAGGGGAAGTAGAGCGAGTGACGCAAGAACTAGAAGCCGTAGTAGGAGTCAGAGGTAGCCTGCCAATAGGAAGTGGAGTCTGGAGAGAATACATGGAGTTAAGCGGTGAGTTCATGTTGTGTGGTAATGCCGCGCCAGTAAGACCATTCGGTATGGTGCCAGGGGACTTTAAAGGGGTTAACGGAGTTTATGGGGATTATTATGGATTGTTAAACACACCTGCATGTTCCTTGCAGCCATAGCAGCTCTATGCCTGGTCATAATCTGTTGGTGGTCAGCACCGGGACAAAAATTGCGTAAAAAATCAAACTAACACCAGAGCTGTCACCGTAAGATCCATGATTAAGAGCAGCAGCCATTCTGAGGTGGTTGTCTTGTTGAAAGGCCCATTCCTTTGCAGACTGCTGCGAATTGGATTGAGCGAGGTCTTGAGGGTGTTCCATATGGGTTTCAGTATCCAGCTAATTACTAGAATTTTAAGCGCTGGACACTCAAACTTTATCCAAGTTGAGTTGGCGTTGGAGGAAGAGATGTTTCTTTAAAATCAACAACGAATTTGAAAAAATGTGAGCGCAAACAAATCAAATTGAGCAGCCGCTGACATCAATTATCTACACAGGCCAAAGTATAACGATCCCTGGGCTAGAAGAGAGGCATGGCGAAGCAACCCCATCTTCGGTATTGGCAAGTTCCATAAGAAACTCTTACCCGGTTTCGGCACGGCAGTCGTTGCATTCACCGCATACGTTTTGGCAGACAAAGTGCTCGAGGCACCACACGCAGACAAGAAGCACCACTAATTGTACACTACTCTACATCTGATTCCTGACTACATCTAATCCGACCTCGTACACTCCCAAGAATACAGCACCACCTGCTGAAATCCATGCAACGCGTGGAACTAAACCTGCAAAGAAAGCTCTATAACCTCCTTGGTTGTATACGCTGCTTATGACGGTTGCAAATGAGATGCGCTGTGTTTGTGTTAGTGTGGTTTAATAAACAGTAACTTATCTACACACCTCCTTTGAAAGCATTGTCCGCGTTTTTATCACGTCTAGCGGTGTCGTCGAGCCTGCTGCCACCGCTCCGGCTACTGTCCCGCACAGCGCACCTTCATGGGGTCTAGCGTGGTCTCTGCCTTTATACCTAGCAACACGAGATTTGAGATATTCGTAGAGTGGAAATTGTACGCTTGTGAAAGGTATCTCTCTGAAGACTGTAATACCAAACCCTCTATAGAAACCTTTCAGCCCTTCCTGAGAAATGAGTAGCTGAGCTGCCTTCAGACTGCTCACACTGCCATATGCCATCGTCTGTTGCCTAGACTTGACTACCTCCGTTGGTACTCGTATCAAGCAAGCTGCTGTTTCACCACCAGATCCAGCAAGCATGTGTACAGCTGCATCTGGGAGGTTCGAGAAGCTAGAAATTGTTGGAATCGCTTTCTTAAGCGTCTCATAAGTTGTGAAGAAGGCAGCCGCTGTGATGTGATCTGAGTCTTGGTGCGCACGTCTATTGAGCCCAACATACCACCTGGCGCACCACCGAATGCTACACTTCCAACGCCTTTGTAAATATTTCTAAATCCGCCCGCTTTTATGAATCCTTGCGTAGATTGCAACCTCGTCTTGAGTGTGTCGACTGGGTAGAAGAACACATCTACTGTTACACCCGAGAGCGCACCTGCCTAATTCAAGTGAGTTTATGCTTCACAATTCACTCATTTATCTCCAACTCACAAACAACGCGTGGTAGAACGGAGGTGGTGTATTCGACATGGTCGCTGAACACGAATAAGTTATTATAAAATACCTTCACTTTAGAGTTACTACAATTTGATCCCCGCTTTCAACGCTAAACCACCGAAGATCTTTGTAGTCATCGTCCAAATCCACATCGGTGCGTTCGTCTTCGACTTGTCCCATCATGTTCGGTTGTGGTATCATGGTAGCTGTTAGTTTAAATTTGGTGTGAGAAATACCAAAGATTCTTTCAACTATCACCCGCAGCTTCTTTACTGGGATGGACGAGATGGTTGTAAGTGGGTATGTCTTGCTATCCATGCGCAATTCTATGTCTAAGAGGGATTAATGGGTGTTTTCAAGGCGTAGAAATAACCCACTGAGCTTCTTCATTTGCAAATGAGTAAGTGTTTTGCTTGGCTGACTACTAGGTTGATAGTCGTACTCTTCAGCGATTCGATTGTTGTTAGTTTCAAAGCAGAGATAACAAATACCACCCACTCTCACAAAGCTCTTTGTAGCGCGCCTGTTTGGGATCCTCTTCAGTCGGTATATTCTTGATATAGAAGTATTCTGCATCTTTTCTCTCTTCGATCGATACCTGTTAGGCAGGTCATTGAGCTGGGCAGTCATGCGAAGAAGGTTACCCACCTCGCTTAGGTTGAGCAGATGCAACTTTTCAAACCTTGCTATGACCTTCTGTCTTGCCTTGCCGACATCTGTCTCTGAAGTGTGGGTGAGATTTGAGGGCCATCTGATGATACAACAGCCTACGCGTGCTCATGATAGGGCAGTCAGTCAGCGACAGTGACTCTAATTGTGGTACCTGCAATGCCAATGCGTCAACAGATATCCAATCTTTGATCTCGTTGCGCGACAGTTTGAGCGTCTTGATTGAATTGTTCGGTGAAACTGAGCGGGGTTTGTAAGGTATCCTTGCAATCTTGTTGCTGTCGATATTTAGAGTTTGCAAGCTGAACTGGATTAGCTTAGGGTGGAAAGGAGTTGCTGAACAAACCTCGACATCCGTAACAGTTTCTCAACCTCGTTCCATTCTGAAATGTTATTGTGTGACATTATGAGTGTATGAAGGGTGGCGATAATAGGTGCATCTTTCAATAATTCTATTCCATTATATCCCAGCTCGAGCTCCTCTAATGAGCCAAGCGAATCACTCAAAGCAACCACCTTTGTAATGTTAGCCAGGACAGTCAATTCAAGCAGAGCGCACCTCGCTATAATCTGTGAGAGTGTTGTTAAGCTTCAAAATTTTAAGTTTGTGCAAGTGTGGGTATGGTCTGTTCCATATAGCGACTCTGTTCGAGCTGATGTGGTGTTATTGAGGTGAGTAAGCCATTGCCATCTACTCACCTAATATCAAGCTCCTGTATGCTAGGCAGGTATTCCACGAGCTTATCGACGTCCTCCATGGACGATATTAAAGAATGCGCCAGCGAGAGCTGTCTTAAACCTGTACACATGTGAGACAAACTCCGATAAGAACAATATCGCTCACTTTGCGCCTCTCGCCTTACTTGATCCTTATCACTATCCCCAATCCCAAAGACAGCCATGTGCTCCAAACCTGCAACCTTGAGCTGAGACGTTTGGCTGAGTTTCTTGCTAATGCGATCAATATTCGGAGCAAATTCAAGCTTATCGTCGCTATATGCGTACTTTTGCTTGAAAGCATTAAGGAATGATTGCCCTGTATGTATCTTCTTGGATGGTCGAACAAACGTCGCAGAAAAGGGAATTCTGAATAATTTCATGTAAGCTGGGCGTGTATTTCAACTAGAAATTCTCCCACTTGGTTTTAAAGTACTGCTTGCCATCCTTGTCGCCGCTGTGCTTCCCCCGGCTACTATCATCCCACTCAATGCCGCACCACAAGCCATCGGTAGAATCAACAGGGCCAAAATATTTAACAGTTCCACGTAAATTACTCAATTCACCTTTACTCGTGAGCAATTGAATCCTTTGAGGGATACCTCTAATATCAACGTGGTTGTTATCCATAAAAGTAGCAAATCTAATGAAATCCAGTTTATTTTACAATCAAATCTTCTCATTTCCAAAGAAGCTACCAAAATCAAATGATGTTGGCGACGCTGTTATCTCCTGTATGAAATGATTCGATAACAACTCTTCCATGGAAATATTTGGTGGATTGAGTGATGGTAGATTATCCATGCCTTGGTTACTGCTCGTGTTTGATTCAGCGGGGGCGTATTCCATCGCAGGTGCAACTTCCGGGCCTATAGTTGGAGTTTGAGTTGCAGTAGTTGGTGGTGAAGGTTTCTGAGGTGGAGTTCTTGACAATTTTTGCACTATTCCACTATCAGGTAGGGATATGAATGATTGAATCGCGTCTGATGTTAGAGAGAAGTCAACTTGGTCTAAACCACTGACTGATGCTCGTTGTTCTAAGAGATTAACAATATAACCTATACCCTGCCAAGGAATGGTCATTCTTTTGAGTGCTTTGTACACTATAAAGAAGTTTTGAGCAGAAATTGTTCCTAGCAATCCTGTGCCTGGAGTGTGTTATTGATAGTTTTCGCTTTGAAAAATTACTAACCTTTATCAGCATTCACCTCAGCTGGTACGGAAAGAGGATCGTTTGAATCTGTAGACTTCTTGAGCGGTCCCAAAGACACATTGTGATTTACACGGGCATCATGTACAAATGCACATGCAGCAATAAATAACGGTTGTGAAATAAATGGCGATGCAAGATAACTTTGGTTAGTGAATAGGTCAGCAAAGACAAGACACTCTGATATCATCTGTGCTGAATTTAGTGAGCTTTTGAGTGACGCTTCTGTGACGTTTGAGCCTGGCGTTTGATGTTGATCAACAAATGCCAGTACAGCGTTGTCTTGGAATTTTTTTGTTAGTAGTTGTAAAAAAAAAAAAAAGATAACCCCACTCACACCACAAGTGGATGAACAAGTATAAACCACCTTGGCCATTCGCAGCGTGTAATTTCAAGTTCTCGACAGACCACTTAATATCCGAGGGCAGATTGGTGTAAAAGTCTCTCAACTGAGCTTCAAGGAAGTGTCTGCGATCATTGTTCTGTGCTTCGACGTCTTGAGTGTCATTCGATCTGCGCCTCCTGAGGACGTCCCTGCAATTAAGTGTATCACTTATTCTTCCAACTAGAATAATCATTTTGACAGCGACAGGAAAGCACCATGGTATTTGATTTGGAGGAGCAAAAGGAACGAACGCAGGTAGAGGTGGCTGGTGGGATGATTCCGGTAGGGTGATCTCGACATTCTCAGACATAGACGAAGGTCTACCGGTACCAAAGGACAGCACTCTATCCTAAGTCCGAAGTTAGCGGGGAATGACGTAATCGGAGGAACGCACCATGACAAAGAGAGTCCAAAAGAGGAGCCTTGCACGGCGAGCTTCATCTGGAGATTCGAACAGGGCGTCGACAGTGCTATTATGGAGACCCAAATCAAAGGCCATTCGGATAGCCATACCGGAGAACTGCCATAAACCACTCTCGGAGTTTTGACCGAATTCGCAGTAGCTGAGAAGTAAAAGGCCGGCGACGGTGTCAGTTGTAGGTAGTCTAAGTAGTTCTATTAGCAGGGTATTCGCTTGTTGGATATAGGGCAAGCTCGCTTGGACGGGGTTCATATCAGGGGGCGGAACAAAGCGGACTGCGGTACCACAAATGGCGTTGACGAGAAAAGCGGACATGGTGCCATTGCGGAGTCTGGATTCAACGGAACCTCTCTCGAGGAAAGGAAAAAATTGAACGAGATCACGGAAGAATATGTCGAGTAAAGGACCGTAGGTGGATGGAGTGGGCATCTTGGAAATGGGATCGAAGAAGGCGTTGTTTGAAGTGTTTGGGATGTTAGGGAGGCCGTCGAGGAGGATAGATCGGGGAGAAATTTGCTGCGTCATGGGCTTATGTTTGAGTTTTATGCAGATTCTGTTGAGGCCTGGGTGAAGAGCGGTAGAGCCAGACTAAAGGGAGTCAGGCGAGTGAGTATATCTATTGAATGCACAATAAACAATACACACCATTCTATACTGTATTATATGTCAAAAGAAATTGTGTCACGATTGAGCGACTCACATAATACAGCTTGAGCTCATCACCGCCGCCAGTGTCATCAATGTAAGTGATTTGATTAGTCACAGCTTGCATGAGATTGATTGAAGATGACGTTGATTGGTCTGTCGACTGATCTGTATCTCTCTGCCGTGCGGCTTCCATCTCTTTACGTGTACGCTTGCGACGTCTACCTGGGCAATTTCAGAGATGGATTTAGTTGCGGGTAGATGCAACGTACCAGATGGCCAATCACAGTGTACATTTGCTTTGTTACAAGCATCACAGCGGCCGTCAACGTTGCCATCGCTAGTGATACACTTGCTCTTCTTTGCTCTACATCGTAAACAAGCCAAGTTTATCTTTAAATTTGTGTCCATCTCCTTGTCTTGTTCAGCGTTAGCGAGCAACCGTCGTGTGGGAAATACAAACAATTAATAAATAACATCATGGAACAGCAGTTTGAACCTAAACCGAGGCCTGAAATTCAAGCTGGTATTTATCCCACTGAGGTTATTCGTGTGCGTGTTCATTGAGCCATTCAACCCACCCATCACTCACGTACACCACTCAGGACGTAGCCGAGAGCGTCGGTATCACTGGTTTAACTGACAGTGTCGCAACGGGCTTGGCTGGCGATGTAGAATACCGCATCACTCTTGTCATTGAGGTGTGTTTCCCTTGTGCACAACCCCATTCACTCACCCTCTCCTAGGAGGCAAACAAGTTCATGAAGCACTCAAAGCGCTCCACGCTCCTCCCTTGTGACATTGAGAACGCGCTCAAGGTCCTCAACATCGAGCCCCTCTACTCCCCGCACCCTGCTTCCTCAGTGCCTACTTATAGGAGAGTCCCTACCTCGGCTGGCCCCGTTTTCGCTTTGGAAGACAAGGAAATCGACTTTGAGAAGGCTTTGAGGGAGCCCCTCCCGAGACTCTCCAAAGGTCCTTCCTACACTGCTCATTGGCTGGCCATCGAGGGTGTTCAACCACTCATCCCCCAGAACCCCGCTCCTGTTGACGCTGCTCCTATTCATCAACTCGCTCCCGCTCAACCTGCTCTGAATAATAATTCCTCAAACCCTAATCCCTCCTCATCCACCACCATTCACCCCCCAGTCAAGCACCTCCTTTCTCACGAACTGCAGCTATACTACATTAGGCTCACCTCCGCCCTTCTCTCCCCCGCTTCAAATGCTTCCGAGGCTAGACAAGCTGCCCTCGCCAGTTTGCGCGGTGACCCTGGTCTCGGCGGTCTCGTTCCATACCTCGTTAGGTTCGCCGCGGAGAAGGTCTCAACTAACTTGTCCAATGTTGATATCGTAGACGCCATGCTTGGTGTCGTACATTCTCTCATAGAAAATCAAACTCTCTTCATCGAACCTTACCTACACCAGATCCTCCCATTGCTCCTAACTACCCTTCTCACCTCTTCCTATCCTGCCCCTCCTAATCAGCACGCCCTTTGGCTACGTCAAAAGTCAGCATCACTCATCTCTAGGCTTCTCCATGAGTACGGTAGCAGTTACCCTACTTTGTCAGGAAGAGTTGCCAAGACGCTCCTCAGTGCACTCAAGGGTGACCAACACTCCGTTGGTGAGATTGCTTCTCGTGATGTAGGAACTAGAATGGGTAGCTTGTTAGGTCTTATGGCGGTAGGAAAGCACACGGCAATCAGAGCACTCATTCATGACAGCGGTGAGTATCATTTTAGACGGTTTATTACATTATATGCTAACCTTTATTACAGGTATTAAAGGTATTAGTGAGCTCACTGAGTCGCTCGACCAAGATGCAAGGTTGCAGGTCGTCGATACCGTTGTTGAGGTGCTCATTCAAGTATTGCCAGAATCCAAGGCTGCAAAAGTTGACTCTAAGCACATTGAAAACCTCTGCGCTCAAGTCTGCGGCTCTATCATTACCTCTCATGTATTCCTCAAAAAGCCGGAACTAGCGTCATCGATAGTGTCAACTTTGGAGGATGAGAAATTCGTTGAGTGATTTAGATTTTTTGTATTTTATTGCCTTAATTTATATTAAAAGTACTCGCCAATACAATGCCAATATTTTATATTTATAGTATTATCACTATATTCGGCACAGGATATATCATAAAAAAAGCATTCAATCAATTTACCTCGAAGCGCCACAACTTGAAGCCTGTAAAGTTCTGGGTTTCGGATAAATGGAGATATCTTTCTGAGCCCGTTGTAACTCCGGATGATGAAATTCCGGCTAATGAAACCCGCATGATAACTCGGGTAATTAAACACCCCAGCATCCGATAATGTCTGTTCAAAATCCATGGCGCAATTATCACAGTAATTTTAATGTGGGTGTAATTGTAGTGCTGCGTATCTCTAATGATGTAATAAATATCAAGACAAAACATTTATAATGATGGCATGTTCCAAGGTCATTAATATGCTTAGTATCAGTATCAGCAGATTTCCATTCGCTATAGTATACAGAAAAGCTTCACAAGCTACCAAATCAAACCGTCTTTCCGCTGAGATTATGTTGATCAGGCGAACCCAAGAACTACCTGAACGGCATGAAGATGTCAGTACTCATATGAAAATCGCAAAGAGAAAACAGCACCTCACTCACTAAGTTTTTAATCTAAACAAATCATCTAGTAAGACCGTGTACTGATAATAACTTTTGCACATAGACAACTCATCAACTTATTCACACTTGTTGAATTGGGGAATGAAGATAAAATACACTACTATATGATATGATATCACATTACATCGATCAAGCTTAGGATTTCCTCCGAGCTGGCAGAAGCGAGGACGCAATTAAAAACGATATTGGCATCTGTGCTTTCAAGCTTCACTAGCGCGTCTGTGATTGTGTGGATGATTGTCTTCGATTGTAGCAGTGCAATCTCTTCCTCCGTGATTGGCTCTATCGATGGGTGCAGCTTGTCCTGTCAAGTAACCCTTAGACCCATCGTCGATGAGCTTGAGTGGCTCAGGAAGCAAATATCAATCCCAGCAATATCCGTTAGATTGTCCTAATTTTGCAATAAAATCTACCTCAAATACCCCGCAAAGGTCATACACCCTACCCCCACATACATCTGCAAACCACTGAAGGCTTCTTGCGCGCTTTAAAGACCCTAGGCGCATAACTCTGAGCAAAGCCTTCGATCCACAGCGTTTAAACAATTAGTAAGGAAGGTATTATCGATTGAGAAATTCAATAAACGAGGTGCTTTAAAACTTTTATTGAGCTTGTTTATGTCCCTCAAGTCGAATGAATCGCCTTTATCATCCAATGACGTTTCTAGCCTGACTCAAAGCTGGTACGCGACAAATTTATACGGATCTACTATCGTTCTGTTTCCTCTCAGGACCAAGTTTTCATTAAATCAGCTAATGATTGAATCTCTGATTGTGATGGTTAATTGATTGAAGTGCCTCCTCTCGACGCGACGACAAAAAATACGTGACACAGATAGGCAGGTTATTATAGTAAATACTATAACTACTCGGAGACTATCATGCAGATATGCTTTGAACTTATACAACTGTATATACAGATGCATATCGACAATTACCTCGCGATAACGACAAGCCCACACACTTTACCCAAACCACTAAGGTCGATAAGATTCGTTAACAAATCTCTATTAATCAATTTAGGCAAAATGGAATAATAGGCGAAATTGTCAGATCTCCTCAATCGTATTATCAAGAACCCCTGCGATTGAACGGATAAGAATGAAGAATTAGACGAGCGCGGAAGAATGCAATGCTTGAGGCTTGATAGCTATACCCTAGTTTAATTAAAACAAACTTAAATTTTTGCGCCATACTATTGCCTACGCGCCTTTGTTAAAGTAGCCGCTTATGCTAATAAGCCTTTGCTAGTGATCACTGCAATGAAGCAGACCCGTTGTCTATTATAACGACGTGCGACTCATAAATTTGCTCCAACGGCTTATTTTTCCCCGATCGGACACACTCTCAAGCGTTGATATGAATGAGACTTGTACTGTCACTAGTCTCGTATTGCATCAAATCAATGAATGGGTAAGGGATCAAGAACGTTAATGAGATAGAGTTTGTTGTAACTTTTATTTACTTTGGGTCATCCATGCTTCGATAGATATGGAGTAATTGCGGTTTTGCTCGCGTATTTGCATAGATGAGATAGTGAGACATGAAAGTAACTAGAGCTTATTAAGTAATATTCAATGCTTAATTCTACAAATGGCAGGAACCTTTTAAATGAGAGGGATTGGAGTGCAGTTGATACCGACGAGACCATCGTCCTTGACGTCCTCACAACAGGTTGGGGTGTTCTTGCACTCGTCTGTGGCGTGTTAGCTGTGATATAAAGCAAGCGCGTTTACTAACCTTCAATTGCAACTCCAATGAGGAGAGGGATTTGAGTGCATTGGATGGCGACTTGGTCGAGGATGTTGCCGGTGTGGAGGAGGCCGTCTTCTTCACCGGTGGACTTTTGGGCCTTCTTGTTGGTATCGCAGCACGAGAGTTTTCCGGTATTGCATGAGCCGGTCTTGGAGGTCCAGCCAGCTGAGACAGAGGCGACGAGGGCAGCAGCGAAGACAGTTTGAGCGATCATAGTGAGATTGGAAGAGTTGTTGAGTGTAATATTATCCCAAGGAGACCTTCTACTTTTATATGTTGCCAATTTTTAGTTTATTGATTAGTCTCACTTTTAGTTTTAATTTTAGTGAGCCATTAACGCGTTCATACCGTCTGAATGATTCAGTGGACACGAAGAATGTAAATGTGCGTGAGGGTAAAAATCTATGGACATTTTAATTGCAAGCAAAATGATATCAAGTTATACAGATTTTTTGCTAGCCGTGTTCAAGAAGTCCTGTGAAAAGTCAGTCGTGGCGCTGTGTGCAACACACAATCTCAAGAATGCAGCTTCTCACTTCTTCCGACCGCGAGCAGCACCAGTTAAAAGCGTGTTTCACAAACTGTTGTGCGAGTTGTCGTAGTTTGTTCGGTCCGTGTTTAGCTGTGCGACAGCTACATTTTTGTGTTTTTGACCTCGCGAACCTGTCGATATCGTTTTTGATTTTGTCTTGTGGTTTGGAATACTCTTAAAACATTGGTACTTGAACGCTTGACCACACTACAGAAAACATGCTGTGGAATGGGGTTGGTTGAAACTGATCATATGTCCAGATCATATGATCAAGATCTATGAGAGATTAATGAGTCCCTATTCGATACTTAAGCAGACTCTTTAGAAGTCATTAAAGCATACTAAGAAGCGCCGTTCACTTAAAGTCGAAAAGATAAGCATTTCTAGCGAATTTCTAAACGGACTATCGATGCTCAAGTGTGAAGTGTGAACTAATAAAATTGACAATACACAGTCTAAACGAATTTAAAATATAATTACAACATTTTGGGAACGTCAAAAGATTAAAAACAAGGTCCCAGCCGGATTCGAACCGGCGAC